GTGAAATCTGCCTTTTTAAATAAACACAAAATTAAAGTAATCAAAGTATGTAAAGAATCGTAAAATGGCACTTTTATGCCCAGTTCGTATCAGACGTGGTAAAAAGAAAAAATCATCAATTGTAGATCTAGAAAAAGAACTTGCAAGATCCAATAATGGGGTCACACCTGGAATGGGAATTGGAACACTAGTTAGAGTAGAAATTGAAAAAGCATGGATTATCCCCAGACAGTAAAATGGTTGTTTTACATGATTTTACACCATGTGTTGATGACGAGCTTGAAGTAAGAAGAGGACAGATTGTGAACATTTTGTATAGGGAAAATGATTGGGTGTATGTAATAAGTCTTGATACAAGACAAGAAGGCTTTATTCCTTATTCATATTGTACACCTTACAACAATCATTTAGCAGAACTTGATATTAAGAAGAAACTTCCTAGATGATAACATTTGGCATCTGGACAAACTTTAGACACAAATCAAGATTGGTACGCATATACTTTTTATTTTATTATTAGCTTATAGACACATGTTCAGTAATATCTTTTTAATTTGTTGTTTAAACTTTTTTCCTGGTAGATTACGAATGTGGGACGGAAGTGTATTATAGAATGAAATGCCTAATTATTCAGGACTTGTTTATTCTATTTCTCATTTGGATTAGCTGATTTTTCCCTCTGGTATCGTATGTACGATTGTCTGAGTGACATGTGAAGTTTCCCAAATTATTTTTTAAGGCTAGCAAGTTTTCAAAAACTATTTGCCAAAACTGGGTACTGAATCATCTCCTTTTTTGTGGCATGGTAGAACTTTGGACGTTTTAAAAATATCTGGAAGGTACCTTCAGCTAAACAACATTTTCTCAATTCAGTAATAGGAACAACAATATTTTGGGCGCAGTTTTTTAATAAATAGATATTAATTTCATATATATTTTGAGTTCTATTTGATTTAATGTTTTGTATTATATCTATGGTGTCAGATTCAGTAAAAGGAGCTAAAAAAAGTGATTGATGTTTTCGGTTATAACAAATTTTATTTTTATTGTTATTGAGGATGCCTTCTACTATATCAGACGAATTATTTACAAAATATTTATTAAAGGTTTCTATATCGATTTCAGATTCTATATACTTTATTTTTATTATTACGTCCTGTTTCAATATTTATTATTTGCCATACAGTTTTAGATTTATTATCTGAATTATTAATTTGTTGAAGTACGTTATTTTGTTTTGCTTTTTTTAGCAATACATTGTATTTAGTTTTCTATTGTTTATATAATTTTTTATTGTAGTTTGTTAGTTTGTTTTTAATGACGTCCTGTAAAAATGAGATTAGTTCTTTTTGTCTTTTTATTTCGTCTGTATTCACATAAATCAAGTTTTTATTACATTTTCTTTTAGGTTGGAATATATTTGGAATTGAGGCATTAAAATGTTTCATAACCCAGCAAACATTTTCTATAACATTAGTTATAACTCGACTTTGTTAAAGACGAATTTACTTATTGAGGTAATTATTACGTAAAATTGACTAGAAAAATATACCTCTAATGTAAATTTACCAAACGGTTAATTTATATTTAAATTTACGTAAATTATACCAAGAAATCTACCTTTTACACAAATCTGCTTAAAAGTAACTTTAACCATATCAGCAAGGGAAAAACTACTAAAAAAAAAATAACCAACAATTACTTCAAAGTTAAATTTCCTTTGTAGTAAAATTAGGTGCCATATTTAGGTAATATCTATCTGTTTGGCAACTAAAAATCGTCTTTATAGTAGAATATTTAACTAGGTAGATTTGGTTAAAAATTCTACGTAATTTTATGCCTCCATAGTAACCTATTTGGCCGCTTTTATTTACTCTCCTTTAAAGTAATACTAGGTCGAGATCGTAGCAAAATTCTACCTGTTTATCTACCTAATTTCAACCAAATAGTCGAATACTCATTTAGTTGACCTATAAGTCATCTTGAAGAAATATTTATTAACTTTGTTGTAGCAATTACCTGAAAAATCTACCACAAAGTAAATTCGACTAAAAACCACCAATTTAAAAAGAGTCATACATGACCTATTTGTAAAATTTGTATTATTTAGGTTATTTTAACAATTAGGTTGTTCAGTTACTGTCTTCGTCATTATTCTTAAGAATTTCGGCCATTTTAAAAAAACCATTACAGTCGTAATCTTAATTTACGTGTGGTGTAGATAGAGCTTTAAATGAGTGCGAAAAATAATTAATAAAATGAGTTCGAAAAATAATAAATCATATCGTTATACTTCCGATTTTTATCGTAAAGTGAAACGTCTAAAATCTCAAGTGCAGAACAACGTGACCTAAATATGTTATATTTACCTATAGGTAATTTTTTTATAAAACCTATAAGTTATTATTTCTTTAAATAGGTAAAGTTAACTAATATGTCGTGAAATTGAAGTTAATTCAACTTAATAAAGAGGTATTTGTAAAATACGTAGATTTCCTTAGTCATAATAACTTTTAGGTCCAATTCGCACAATACGCCATATTTTCTTAACGTAATTGAAGTACGATTCCAAATTTTAAATTTTTAAAATGACCATAACTAGAACATACGAATGAAAATACCGAAAAACGAAACATTATTGATTTTCTAAAGTGATACACAACAAACGTAACATAGTTTTAGCTCATAATAATATTATTATTATTTTTTTACACGATCATATTTTTTTCTAATATTTTTTTAATTAGAGAGTATTTTGGAAGGGCATTGTTATTTTTCTAAGTAGAACTGTTAACATGCACGACAAAATTTTCTTCGCATTAATTTCAACAAGCGTGAACTGTATATTCACCGCAATTACATTACATATATTTTTGTCACCGACATTTATTTATTTTCAATCTTCCATGTGAATTAGGTATATGTTTTAGTTGTGTTGGTGACTTCTTACAATATTTCTACTTATATATAGATAAAAATATCAAATAAGTACAAAATATCTTTTCGTACACTTGGAGGCATACGTCATCTGCAAATATTTTGGTAGTTTCTACCTAAACTTAGTTAAATCAACGTCGAATTAACGTTATACTGACGCCAAATTTCCCTAGAGAGGTATTACTAACCAAACGTACTGGGCTACTACAATGTGGATTTAGATGTAATTCTACCTATTTTGGTAAATAAAACCAAATTTCGACGTCGTCTTATTCTCCACTTATGTCGAATCCACGTCGAGCCAACGTAAATTTTACTTAATTATGGTTAAATCTAATTTTGCGACCAAATTTATTACATATAATTTAGGTAGTATCGACGTCAAATTACACCAAAATGTTTGCTGGGAAATGTATCATGAAGTGCTTCAGCTTTTTTATTTGCATTGGTTGCTTTTCTCATGTCATGCCAGGTTTCATTTTGCAGAAGATTATTAAGATTATATTATTTTGAATATTAAATTGAAACAGGTGGAACCTGTCAAAATTAAACGGGCATTTTACCAGTATATTAAAAAATGTAACGACTTGTTTTAAAGAACCACTTCTGTCACCAAATGTCTAAACTTGTCTACAGATTCATGTGTAACGATTGATCCGCCCTTAATTACTGTTGTCAATATACTATTGAGGATAATGCAGCACTGTCATCAGCCAAAAGGTTTTGTAGTCCAGAAGGAACATCCATTCGTCAGCGGCAAATAATAAAAGTAAAACAAAATTATCCCTTAATAGCATAGTCTAGCGGTTTTGGCAACTAGTTATAAAACTCTTCTAGTCCTTAGGGGTAGAAACGCAGAGGCTTCACAAATGCTTGGAATATTTCATAACTGGTTTTGGAAAGGACAGGAAAGAATAATAATAATCGTGAATAATCAGTAACTGTGTATATTTAAAATAATTACAATATGACTAATAGTCTTTAGAAAAAATAAATCAATTTATATTTAGGGAATATATAAACTTAAAAAAATGGCATTTATATGGAAATCAATTATTTGCCTCAAAACAAAACCACACAATACTTTTCAAAGTCACACAAATCGTTGCACACTAAGGTGCTTCGGGATCTAGAGTAAGAGTTTCGGGCAACTGCCCTTACTCAAGTCTCCTGTCAACTATCGACAGTCTACTTGAACCAAAATGTACGTGACGGATTAATTATTATCAGCGTGTATTACCTTGGATAATTCTTTAGTTAATTGTAAGCTATTGACGGGAGTAATAACCTAATTGTTTAATTTATTTCAATACCTGTTTTTCCTATTTAAATATTAAAAAAAATATATATTGTTTTACCTAACCTTATAAATAGGGACGACACAAATTTTAGAATTTAGTTCAACCAACATAATTTTTATATTTTTCCAAAAAAAAAAACTATTTTTTTAATTATGCATTTTTAACATTTGAATGACATAATTTGTAGGATGACGGAGTTATTCTAGCATAAATATATTACATGTGACAATTGTGGGAGATTAATCACACATTCCTGACATTCCATTACTGATTAAACTGTAGTACATAACTAGATTTTTTAAAGGAAATTTAATTCATTCAAAACTGGTTGTCTTTACATCTGCACTGTATAACAAATTCCGTCTAGACTCATACATCACCATCAAAGCCATTAGCGTACAAGCTTTTAATTTAACAAACCGTATAATTTAAGGCTTCTTCATATTTTCTGGTCGACTTCCTGCCTGGGTGCGGTTCATATTTCATAAAAAAGCTATTGTTTTCAAAAAATTCGATTGGCGCGATTTACTGTGTCCCTAATTGATATAAATGATCTGCTTTGATGCAAATTGCGCTATATCATGTCAGATATAAGTGGATTGGTTGAGCAGTATGGCGTTTATGGGGGAGGTGATTAATTTTTTAATAGGGAAGCGCTATGTGAGAAGGACGTACAGTATGTATTTTTTATTTTATTTATTTATTCACGAGTAACCCCATTTAAAAAGAATACAATAATAGCAGAAAAAATTTTTGCCTTCCGTCGTTTTTACTATTAATATAATAATATATAATAATAATAATTAGTCGGTAGTTTCTGTTTTTTTACTCCGTACGCTGTTAGAATTTCCCCTCTAGATTTTTCTTAAACTTAAATTAAACGCGTAGTTAATAAAAAAAAGGAAAGCTTCCTTTACAAGACTTTATTAAATAATGCGATAGCCATAACGTTCAGAGTAGAGGGCCTGCGCTTCTCTAACCAGTAATTAACTGGCAACTTTCAGCTTGTACGGACCGACGTTTCAGTTTCAAATCGGCAATTTGCAGTCGCAGTCCTGAAACCGTTTCAGAACGATCGAAAAAGTTGAGCGATTTAAATCGTATACGCGCTTTTCGGCGGGTTATCAAAACAAAGAAGATAACAGGAAACGAATAAAGGTTTGTTTATAAAATTTTAATTGATTTATTTTTGAAAATAGGAGAGGACAATATTTATTTTAAAAATATTGGTATGTAAAAATTGGACGAATTTTAAAATAGCAGGAAATTTGTTTCATAGTTACTTTAAACTGAAACACCTTTTAAAATTTACATATGCACTTTTAAGATAAGATAAGAACTTATTTTCCTCTTTCATTTATAAAAAAACTATAAGTATCTATTGGGTGGACATACATCTTTAACTTTCTACTTAATGCAATAAACAATTTATATTAAATTAAGTTAGTTGCTCCTTTTTAGTTTTTATCAGTATATTATTATACTTATTGATCAATATGTATACTTTTTTGCAAATAAACTTTATTATTATTATTTTAACCATAATAAAATAACAGTGGCCTACCAACAACAATAATAATAACAAGAACAATAACAAAATAATAAATTTTAAATAGAAAAAATAAAAATATACCAAAAACAATATATTGCAACTTATATAATAAAAAAATACAAAGGGTTAAAAAAGTTTGGATTACAATTCTACGTAAGAATATCATATCAATTATGGAGGATGCACAATGGGTTTAGTGAGCCCTAAGTGCCATAGTTTCAATCGAGGTGAGATTAATAATTATTTTCCATTAAAAATTACACAGAATAAAGATTATAAAGTTTACCAAAAGATTCCAAATGTCCGATACACGTGACGAAATTAAATAGATAGTATTATACCGATCAGTGTAAAAATTTTTGTCAGTTAAAATGATTACAGTCTGTTCGCTATACTTACGCAGGTTTCGCGTATTTCTAGGTAAGTACCCGAAAGTTTGTACTGTTCTTTGGGGAAATATCAACTGGTTAAATGAAATGAAAAATAATGTACAACTTTTTAATTAAATAATAATGGAGAATCTTTTGTATAATTGAGAGCAGAATTAAACTTCTTCATTAATAGAGTGAGTCTAATGTGGCTATTATAAACCTAATAATAAATTTATATTATACTTCACATAGAAAATATGGTCTATGTATAATAAGAGGGTTATTTAGCTCAAATAAAATATTTTCTAACATAAAAATTTGTTCCATGTAGAGAATTTCAAATGAAAAATAAAACAAAAATGAAAATCAGTCATTATCATCCAAAATATCATAATCGTCATCATCATCACTGTCATCACCATTAATTGTTATTATGATTGGACTTATTTCGTTTATTTTATTTTCACGAGTCCACCAATCTTCTATTAGTTTCTCGCTATTGGATATACAGTTCCGCCACACTTCTGGAGATGCAATTGAAAGTGCTTTTCGCCAAGTTTCCCGAACTGCGTCGTCACTATAACCATTAGGCCCAATATGGTTGTCATAATACTGTTTTGCTATTCCCCATATATATATATATACGATGGGATTAAACTGGCAATGATACGGTGGCAGACGTAAAACTTGATGACCGTAACTTTCAATAATCTGATCCACAACAAAGGTTTTTGGTTTTGCGTGTATATTTGCCAAACGTAATAATTCCGATTTTAATATATATTGAGGAAATGGTATATGTTCTTTTGTCAACCATTCTTTAATTTTATCAAAAGTCCAAGATTTCGCTGGACTGTTGTTTAATACTTCAGAATGGTAAGGTGTATTGTCTAAAATAATTACGCTGGGCTCACTTAAACCTGGGAGAAGTTTTTCATGCAACCATTCTACAAACATTTCTGTGTTCATATTATCGTGATAGTCACTGGATTTTGATTTAGATGAAAATATTAAATCAGCACCTTCTATAAAACCCGATTTCCCTCCTGCATGTAAAATTATGTGTCGCTTCCCTTCTCCATCGGTATGTTTGATGGACTTTACGTTATCATCTTGCCATATTCTCTTGGTTGCACCTCTAGAAAATATCCATGTTTCGTCTAAATATATAAAATTCGTCCTTTCTTCTTTAAATTTAGAATATTTTCTTAGAAAGTTAATTCTCTTGTTTACGACAGAACTTCTTTCACAAAGGGCCTTTCTGTTATTCTCCTTTTGAAATCTGAAACCCAAGTTATGTATCACTTGCCATAGACTTGTTCTGTCAATGTCGTCTATTAATTCAGAGAGAATTGTATTTAAGGTCACATGTTCCTTGTTGGCCCTCATTCGATAAATGGTATCACGAATTTCAAATTTCTTTCCATCTGGAATATCTTTCGTTTTCAATGATGAGCGAGTTTTGCGATGGTCTTCTTTCGGCAGTTTACTATTGTTATTTTGTAATACTCCTCTTAATTTGGTTTCACTAATTCCTAGAACATCGCATACGCGTTGTTGTACAGACATTACCGATTTTAAAGGACCGCCATTTTCTTTTTCATTCGTAGAATACTTATGTACACTACAAATTAGACTATCTACATCTAACACACGTCTAGGCATTTTTAAAATTTCCACTAAATTTACAATATACATACAATGTCATCACTTGCAGAGAATCAATTCAACTGTAATATTTGTAACAAATTTAGTACCTACCCTAATGTTATTTTTAATTTAAATCTGACCATTAGGGCAATTTTACCTAATTTCTTGGGAAGAGGATTATTGGAACTGGTTGTCAATGACTAATTTGCATAATTTTGTTAATCCGAAACCCGCGTAAGTATAGCGAACAACGTAATTGTTTTTGCCTGTTGATACTGATACCTGTACAGAGTTGTACTTAACAAGCAAATACAATTCAAAATGAAAAGGTTTTACTGATTTAAAATTGAATTGTCAACATTCTACATTGAAGAAACCCTCCTCCCCTGATTGTTTCCCCACTAAATTTGGAATTGCTCATTAGCTACAACATGCGTACCAAAATTATCATAATGCGTTATCTGTTTTATTCGCAGCTGTTTTTTTTTCCGAATCCGAAGGTTTAAACCTCAGTATATTAAACCAAATTTCCATTTATAATCGTTCAAAAAAGTTAATCCCACATCAATTTACTTCTAAAATTTTGATTTTGAATAATTCCCATGTAAATATTTTTCCTTATGCTAATATCGCTTACAATTACCATGAAATAAATGTTCGGGAAGCTGAACTTTATCAAAAGGCAATTAAACCGTTCATCCAAAATTCACTTAGAAAATGGGAAAATGGTGAAGCGAAAGAGGCCGGAAGCGCATCGCGGCCACTATGAATAATTTATATTTCCAAAATCAATTATTTATTCAAATGGTGAAGTTGCTTGTGGTTAGAACTTAACGCGGTGAAATAAGGTTAGAAGACCTACTAATTTTTTTTTGTATTCGATAAAACATAATCGAAAAGCATAATTTTAAATATACTTCAAATAAACTGTTGGTTAACTTTGCAGAATAAATCTATTAATTCATCGGAGGAAATCCTTATCCATAAAATCAAACATTGACGAACCGCCTAATTGTTGACATGCTGTCATGTCGAGGGTAAAAAGTGAAGTGATGTATGTCGACCCCGGGATATGTTAATTGTTTGAAGTTTAAAACTGGAGTTACAATAAGAGAGAAATGAAAAGATGTGTTGACTGTTCGAAGTTTGAAAGCGAAGTGGCCGAGAGTGACTTACTAGTTATTGTGTGTGAGTGGAGGGGCGTATCCAACTGATAAATATTACACTGTTGATATTTTTTTTGCTATTGTAAAATAGTAGTCCATAATTCAATTCTATTAATAAATTGTACAGCTTTTCATGCCTGTAGGCTCAATAGTAGCAACTTCAAATACAAAACTAGTAGGTATAGTTATTAATATTATTAATATAGTCAATTTCTGAAAGGTTGTTTTAATAATTTCTGGTATTTTCAAGAGGTAAAAGCTTTGTGAGAAAATAAATAAATGTATTTAAATCACGAAGGCTTACAATCATTTGCGAAAATGTACATAGTGTCATTTCCACTTTCTAAGGCACGCGGCTCCATCGGAACGATTTCGAACCCTTTGTCGTCTCGGCAAACAATATTTGAGCTATTCGTTGGGTATACATTAATATCACTTGGTAATGGTTTGTAATTATTTCAATTTTAAAATTCCAATCTACTTTTCTTTTCTTGTAGAAATTACGCACACGACAATTTTCATTTTTCGTTTTAAATATTTTCCACTTTTCAATACATTGACTCTATAATTGTCCATTTAGGTGTGCCTGATGATGAAGTAACTGCTTCAAAACAGGTCGACAATTAAAATTAACTTTGTGACACATAAGGGACCCTTGTTTTCTGTACAACACAAAAACATTCGAACATATTTTAAAAATGTAACATTGAAATATTTGTGATGTATAAATATTACGAAACGTCCCAGAAACATTTTTGGAATATTCCTGAAAAGTAAATATAATATTTTACAGTAATATTTATGAAATAAAAATTTTACACCTATAAGAAATCTAACATAGTAATTTCAGAAATATATTCCAGTTTTGTTTCATAAACATTATGTAATAACGTTTCTAAAATATTTCTGGGATATCAAAATAGCTTTTAAATGCAATATTACACTGTAATATTTTTATTAGTTATAAAAAAAGCATTTAAAATTATACATGTTTATAGGATGAAATAAAATTATACTATTTAAAATATAATGACTACATAACCCATTTTCGTCCTTATCTTATAAATGATAAATTTTTGTGACCTTCTGTGTAACATTTATGAAACATTTTCAGTGAAATATTAAGTAAAATATTTCAGAAAATTGCGCTTGAAATATTTGAAACATTTGAAATTTTTCATCAATTTTTTTTTCTCCTTGGGGATTTTAAAATAATTTTTAATATTTCGTAGGCCTGTGAAATCAGACACGACACATCCCGAAAATAATCAAAACAGATTCAGGGGACACCAAAACGTAAAAATCCTATACTTTCCTTATCTGTATACAGATAGGAAAGTAAAAATTATTATCGTAAACGAAGACATGGGCCAAAATCCATGTATGCAATAAACCTAACCACCGTCGTTAAATTTACAAAAAGCAGATAATTACTCAAAAGGAAAATCCCTTCATCTTAAGTGTTTTGTTTCAGATAAATTACTCTGAACTCTCGAAAAAAGATCCTTTGAAGACAGCTGTTTAGAAAAATATAGAAGAGACAAAAATATTCGGCAATTGGCAAACAAATGATACTTAATTTAGTGATGGCCGGGTTCTACAAATTTTCTTATAATAATGACCCCTAAATAATCAACTGAGTTCACAGAATGAGTCCAGGATTGTATTGGCCGAAAGGATCGGCTATTGAAGTAGTTTTGATTGTGTTAATGTTGAATTATGGTAAGAACCCTTCTTTTTATTTACATATGCATTTCTTTTCAATTTATTGAAGAATCAACAAATAATTGAGCCATTGGTATATTATATAAAACAACATTTATCAATTCATCATTATGTTAATTACTACTCATTCTACAACCGTAAAATCGGAGATTTTTTTTTATCTTTACTTAACTAGCCAGCTAGCAATATTGAGTTGCGCCTGGATTTGTTGCTAACTGGCTAATTGCTAAGATGTATATTTCTAGTTACAGAGATAACGGGATTTCGTCTGACCAATATGACTGTTCCTGACTTGGTGGATCCCAGAGAAAATCTGGAACTTGGCTGCTACTTTGACATTGGCAACGAAGAATTATACGCTCTCAAATGGTATAAGGACGGAAATGAATTTTTTAGGTAAAAAAAAAACAATATATTTAAAAAATAATTAATACTCCATATTGTCTTTTAAATGTAGAATAGGGAAATTGATACACATCCATCTAACTAGTTATCCACAAAAAATATTTCTAAAATAGGTCCTTCATGTCGGGGTGTACAATTCTTCATTTTAATTGTTAGTTTTGATTCGAGTTCCATTCTAGAATTCCTTAAAACTCATCGTTACTTCATCATCCTATTTCATCTCGTAAGATCCACTTTTATTTCAATTAGACGATTTTTTTTACATATTTGGACGCAGAGTGATCAGAAACGTGGAAAAAAGTGTCTAAAAGTGGGAATAAGAAAATTTTTTGTAGATTAGAAGCCTCAGTAATAAATTATATTAGAAATATTGTTTGATATCAGCAAAGGAAAATATTTGTTATCGAAGTACTTTGTAATGATTCTTTTAAAAAGTAGCAACTTGAGTCAACGAATCAGGATTTAGAAACATGTACCATTGCAATATTTTAAGATTATAAATTGATCAATTTGTACTTTAACCTCCCTTTAAAAAATTCTGGCGTCATCCATTTGGAGGTGTAGTGTTGACTCGTCTAGATGTCAAATGTAGGGTTGCCACCTGTCCTTTATTGAACAGGACAGTCCTTTTTTAAAGCTTAAAATGTCCTTTTTACGGAAAGTGTCCTCTTTTTTACAACAAATGTCTTTTTTGACTTACACCACATATTTTTGGAAGGGACATGGTTTGTACAATTTCTTGTTTTAGATATATGCCTCAGGAAGATAGAAAAATGAGGTATTTTCCAGTTTTCGGAGTATTCGTTGATGATCAAAAGTCTAGTTGCGATAATAGTCATTGTAAACTCACACTCAAAAAATTATCCAGAGAAGAAAGCAGCGGGTCTTACCGATGTGAAATATCCAGTGAAGCACCCTCTTTTAGATTAGCGTCGGATACTCATAATGTTATAGTGGCAGGTAATAAATTATTTTTCAGAATAATATAATTATAAATTATAACATTCTAAAAGTTGTCATGCTTTTATTGATTTGCAAATCAACAATTTGATAGTTTATTGAATTACCCGTCAAATTAGAAACTTTTCCACATTTATCTTGTAGTTTATGACATAAGTGCCGTAACTTATTAAATCGAGGAACACTCTGTGTGTGGCGCTACCTAAAATGTTCCAAACAAAACCCATAGCTAGATTAGAAGAGATAATGGCGTCCAGTTTTTCTCGTTTTTTTGTAACGATCCAAAATTATTACCCTAAAATCTTTTTCATTCCAGTCTGAATGTCCCGATAATGTACCGTGTTTGAGCTTATTTATGGTGTAATGGCCGAACTTATCGAAATCTATGGGTCTGGTTTTTCTCAATATCAAACGGATAGAGAACAGATATATACAAGTTAAATCATTGTAAATTAGATGAAGTCGATTTAAAGTTAATTTTGATAAAATATCGTGAATATGTTTGCAAGAGATATTGAGCCAATTTAATTAGAGTGGTTTTAGAGACTATTAAATATTAAACAACTTCTAAACTAATTATCGTTCAGTTCATCACTCCTTTCTACATTTTTGTAATACCTAAGTATTTGTAAAATTAAGATGTTTTCATGATTACAGCTGTACCTAGAGAGAATCCAAAAATAGAGGGTTTAGAGTCTTATTACTCCGAAGGTGATATCCTGTCTGCAAACTGTACATCAGATTTTGGTGATCCAGCTCCCACATTGAGGTGGTATGTCGACGATGAGCCGGTAAGAACTCTTTTTATTTATAAATGTATTATCTTGGATATTAAGTACCTATTGTCACGTTATTTATTTTAAACAGTTTAATTGTTCTGATTAAACTTATTTATTTTAACTCAAAACTACACTGATTTATATTTACTATTAACAATTTATTTTTATTCGACAACATTTATCTCTAAAACTAATTCATTTATATATAAAAATAGAAGGGAATAGAAAAATCCAGTACAATCTCAAAGAATCTCGAAATCCTTCCTTTATGAGTCAGCCCCCGCACGCAAAGAATATTCCTGTAACTTCTCGAGTCTCGGGGCGGTCAGTGAAAGCGAAACACAGACGGTAATAACCGTAAACCAAAACCAAGACCGAACTAGTTGCATGACACTAAGATTATGATTTAACCGGAATACCGGTCATTTTTCTTGTAACCAAATATAATTTTAAAACACTTTTATTCTTCTCCTACAAATCGTTTTCTTTCTCACATCTGAAAAAAAAAAACCTTTTCTAACGGAAAGGGGAAGTGTGACAGTGAATTCACTCGGGAACACACCGGGAAATATGATAGAAACCGACACAACACAAGAGAATTATAAAAAAATATTCATGAAAAACGTTTCAGAGCCCTTGAGGAATCCATAAATGTAATGAAATCATGTTAGTTTAATGGGAGCACTAAGAAAATATTGAATAAAAATGAAAAAACAATTTTGTCGGATATGTATAAAATTGAAGAGATTATTTTTCTCATCTAATGTAAATTTCATGAATATTATCATTATCATTCTAAAAATTATCTTGTATAAATGAATTTCTAAATAACCAAAACACTATTTTAATGAGAAACTGAATTCCCTCGGGTGGTTAACGGCGCAATTTCTTTTGACTTGACCGGGTAATCTGTAAAATCCAATATCTCGGTAACTTCTACTCTCAGCACTGGCATTAGGACGAAATTAGTAAAGATTCGTTCAACGACGTGGAAAGATTAACTTCTAAGAGTGATTTCGGCTTTTACAGCTAATTTCCAGGTTTTATTAGAGTTTTAGATGAGATAAAAGAAGTTTTATTACGAAATTGTGCAGTAACTATCTAACTGGTGCGAAGCCTAAAATGTTTATTGGTATTCAGTACGATTATACTGCAAGTCCATTTCAATGAATAAGTTTTTATATTTCATCCATTGTAGCTATAATAAAAATATTTATTTAAAATCATATTTTATCTACGACTACTTAATAATTATTTATAATACAAGTGTTAAAGTTGGTAAATTGTTTAGATAGCTTTTAAAAATCCTGCTTACTCACCAATATACGTATAAAAAAAACGTACTTGTGGCATAGTGTTCCGTGCCATAGTTGTTTAAAAATATAGGAAAAACAATTTTAATATATTATTTTGAGTATGGTCGTATATTATTACGGACATTTTGCAAATTTATTAAAAACAAATTAAGTAACGATTTCAATACAGTGGCTCAAAAAAGATTTTTTCTAAATTAATTTATCTATACGATTTTTTTTAAAAAACTCATTTATTAATAAAAAAAAGTAAAGGTAATAATATCAAACTTTTATGAAAAGTTCTCTTATTTATAAATGCTGATTTGAAAAAAAAAAAAAAAATGTAAATTTGATGTACCTTTCATTGCTTTTTTAAATACCTATATATATAAATATATTACTGACCTACATAATGTTGCTATGCAAAAAAAGATCAAATGTGATCCACCTTGTATACATTACGATAAATAATTAATTATTCCTAGCAAATTTAAATTAAAAGACTCACCCTTTGAAGCCTCATATTCCACCTAGAACAACGTACAATAAAAAATAAATTATGTTGTAATAATTTATTTATAGAAAAAACTAAATTTAATTCAAAATACTCACCATTTGAAGTCGATCATTCCTGCTTTATTCCGTTCCAAAATTTCTTACCGCTTCTCCATAATATCCATTATTTCCAGTAAATTTTCCCGATTTAAACGCGTCCGGACAAATCTTCTATACCCGACGACATTGTTGATCATCGTATCACATTCAATTCTATATCAACCCTTTGATACGTAAAATATCTCTAGGTAGTATATCTGCAGCCTTGTCCATTTGAACGTAGAAAATATATCCCAGGATATACATTCTAAGAACAAACGTCTTTATTGTCAGAGGTGAAATGAACATGAGCTCAGACCAACGATATCGTGCTACCGATTAACTAGAGACATTTGCGGCGATTTAAAATTTTCTTTACGGATTCGCTGAAAAGAAAAACCACAATTAATATAAAATTTATAAAATATTTGTATTACGATATTGATTGCCTTTGAAAATATTGCATAAAGCCATTGGAGCCACAGCTCTTGGTACTAGTATTTACATTTTTTAACCTGTAAAAATTGTCGTAGCAAAATTATAGTGTACAACATATGCACAAAGCACTTTTCCCATTCGTTTGATGTATGCGCTCGTATGTGAATACGTTTTAAGAAATTATTGTACAATCTGCGCTACGTTGAACGTTGAGTGCCCTCGTATGCTACTGTTTTTTTTTAATTTACTCTAAAAGTTAATATTCAATTATAGAATTTTTTTCCGAGATGTTAATAATAAAAAAATTCGGATTTTTTCACCTGCTAATAGATTATCGAAAAATAAAGGTACTTTAGTTATTTAGAGACGTTTAAAATTATTAATATTAATTTTTTTCTCAAAAACAAAAAATCGAAAAAATTGAACGGACAAACAATTTTATCTTTAGTAAGTTTATTTAAAAAAATTAGAAAAAATTCAAAAAATCTACTGGGCCTAATAATCAAAATACTCTGTGAACACGTCTTTAGAGTTATGAATCAACTGCAACATGACCGAAATAAGACACCTCATAATGTCAATAAACTGTGAAAATTTCATAAAAATTGTTCAAAGTATTTTTTAGATAAAATACTAACAAAAATGAGTGTTTTATTGGACACCACATACCTTTATTTTTTGATAAACTGTCGGCTCGTAAAATCATGAGTATATAAACTAGACCACGTATTTAAAAATACCCCGTATACCCTGGAAGTCACTACCTATATTGCATGGAGGTAGAAGGTAGGGAGATACTGTCACGTGATACAAGACGGGTTCACTTCCGCCACATTGCGTTGGCGAATCCTTCAAACAGCTAATCGTTCTTTCAATCAACGTTTTTTCTATTTTTCTGTCGTATGCAAACTAAATATATTGTACATATTAAAAGTTAAACATTAGTTGCTGGTGCTCAACGTATTTTTAGCAACCTAATAGATACTTATATGAAGAAATTCCTAAATATACAACATAGCAAACAATGTGCAGTGCCGTATTTGAGATATTAATTGTGCTTTGAGTGAGAGTATTGTAACCATATTAGGATTTTGTAAAGATGAATTAAAAATGGGAGAATTTGCTGCAGTTGGTGCAAAAATTAGATTTAAAATAATCATAAATATTCTCTTTGTTATCTTATATTCTAGAAATTTACTTCAGTTTCATTGCAAATATTTTTTATAGGATCCTAAACGTTTAGAATAATGGCAGCATGTCATTCCTAGGGCTGATAAAGTAGGATCTAGTTATGATTCTGTTTGCGAGCTACACTTTTTAGAAGATAATATAAAATTTGATGAGACTATTTTAACTAATGGTACTGTTAACAAAATAAAAAGGGAAAGGCCGAGATTAAAGAGCCTCAGTCTAAAGATCAATTAATTACGTTAATAAGTAAAGGGTTTTTAATATACCCTTCTCATTCTTTAATTTCTTTAATATCTATACTGGAATCGACTATCTTAGAATTTTTATCAAGAAACCCAGTTCATCAAGAAACTCGTTTTGAAATTTTGAATAAAATTGAAGAAATGGGCATTTTATTTGTAGGGTGTGATGAACACAAAGAAAATATTACATTCGCTTTAACCTAATCAGTAGAATGCATTTTATTTGTAAACAAACTAATAAAATTGATGAAGCTAAAAAAGAAATTATGAAAATGACTAAAAATTGAAAAAGCTGAGAGAAAAAAGAAAGAACAAATGCCTGCACGACCGGATCTTTTCAATTTTTCTTTAATTTCTTTTCACTTTGGGGATATGAGAAAGTAATTTTCATAATTTTGTAAGGGGAATTAGAAATTTTTCATTAATTATATTATTTAAGCGTTTTGCCACTTTTAAGAACAAATTAAATGCCACCATTGTCGAATACAAAATTACCACAAAACTGTACTTGTACTGTACCAAATTTCACTATTTAATAAACCTTTTCAAATTTGGTCATACCTAATTTTCATTTTATTTAGATAAAATTAAATAATGAATAGTAAATAATGTTTAACATAAAGACTCTATGCCCTCAGCCCTATTTAGCTTTAATTAAAAAATAATTAGCCCTACCCATCAAATTTCAACACTTATCATCAATAATTTGCATTTTACTTAAATAGGAATAAATAGTAAATAATGTATCAATTAAAATATGTAAGACTTATTTAGAAATATATACAACAGTATGTTCTATGCTTTATTTAGCTATAAACAAGTTTATTTTTATTATTTTTACAAAATTATGTATAATTCCCATAAGAAGCCATGTATTTTGAACTACGTAAACAGTACCAGCGCCCGTGCGGTTAATTATAAAAGCTCAATTGACATGTGATTTTTGGGACCGTATTTTGAGCATGCCGATTCGCTTCCTTATCTCTAGTCTTCATATCCACACCAAGTGATACCGTTTTGAATGCTTGAAAAAGATACTTATAACGTCTTCCTACCTTTTAACTCCATGCTATATTGTAACATTTTAATGTCGCCATTAAAAATATTAATCGTAATCAGATAAATAAATTGCATCATTAAAAATCATATTAAATAAAAGTAAATGCTAATTCGCCCATTTATAAATATCAAAATTTAATTTATTTTGCTTATATTCCCATTTTATGTTACGCCCATGCATGAATTTTGACGGGTTTCTAAAGAAATGATCACCGCGCTACGTCAGGAATGCGGTGTACGCATGCTCAATCCAAGCGATCTGTCATCCAATTTTAATAAAATATACAGGAAAATTGAATATTTGCCCTGAATAATATTGCAACTAACAATATTTTGGAAACTGTGCTACAAAATTTTAACTAGAGTTGTGTTGTTTTGAAAACAAGACTGCTGCGATTACAGAAATGTCTAGGTATATATCAAAATAAAAAATTAAACTGAATAACAAGTAGAGACTTGAGTTAAAATTTAAATAACATTTTAACTTGGCAGTTAAAATTAACCAGATTATTACAGAATAGGCCCCATGGTCCCATTTTGTTTCCTTTTGAGATGTTTTTCTTACTTTTTTTTTATAAAAACCTATCTAATTTTTATTTTGTAGACAACATTAAGAAGTGCCTTTTGGGCATGATTTTACAGTTTATACAGTATGATTAAAAAAGTGTATAAAAGTTGAAGCTTGGTCTAAAATTGAATATTGTAGAATAAATTTCAACATAGCATACTGACTTCTAGAATTTTTAGAGCATACAAAGTGTAACTAGGTATATTATACATTTTATTTATATTTGAACAGTTCATTCTAGTTCAGTTAGGCAACATGCCTCCACATGAACCTGAGGTATACATGAGGGTGGTCAAGTTTATATTGTCCTTATTTTACCAACCAATAGCTTATTATATATAAAAAAATAGTTTAATCGAATAAAACATGGTCCAATTTTGTTTCCTTTTTGACATACAGTAAGTTGGAGTGAAAGAGGCTCAAAATGTATTTTTTTAGATTTGTAATAGTTATCAAAAGATTCTTGGTTGCAATGTCATTTAAAAAGGCTTTCGCAATGAAAGAAAAACATTCTTGAAGGTGCATCAAGGCTTTCACTAATAGCAAACAAATGTTTAGTTTATAGTTGTCCATATATATAGCAATATTAGAGTTATCAAAATATATCGAACCTACAGGGTCCACTAGAATATAAAAAACTCATGAAACATTATTATTTTACCCATATTAACCCTATATCTAATACATAGCATTTCCGCGATTACTCTTTTTGTTTAAATTAAAAACAATGTTGATAATACAAAAATAAACAAAACTTTTGATATTAGAAACATTTAAACCCACACAATTAAGATTTTACACATAGGTTCAGGACTTTCAATATTAAGATTGTGCTAAATAACACTGGATCAAATTTTACCTACTTCTGAAATACAGGATGTTAAAAGTTTTGAAATTGGGCTAGTAAATCATATACAATTAATCAATTTTGTGTTTAGAGAAAAAGGGGGACCACCTACACTCTACTGGGGGGCTATTTTCAAACTCAAGAGAAAGTGAATTCTCTGAAGATTTTCATGATGTCATAGGTATGTCAACTTTAAAACAGTATTTACTACAGCAAGTGAAAACTCATTGTTTTCTAAGTTTATTTTGTATGAATTTTAAGTCTCGCTGGCTTTAAAAATACTAGTTTCATGTTGACGTGACATATCTCGTGAAAATCTTGAAAGAAATGAGTTCTCCCATGTTTTAAAAAGGTACCTAGGTACCTTGAATGAATAAAACTAATAATGTGTTATAAAAATGTAGGTACTTTGTCTATTTTAAAGGGAGCAATATATTCGCAATATATTAGCTATAGCTCATAGCATCGCTTGCAGTAAAAGCTTAGTAAAAAATTAATTACCAATTCAACTGAATTTTCTTATTCTGTAAGGTGGGTTTGGAAGCTCTGCATGATTACAGGCGCTGATTTGTGGCATTCGGCGGGATGAAGGAAGCAGTTAGGTAGTGTGAAGGAAATGGCACTGAATAACACAAAATGATGAATTTAATAAGCAACAATATGCACAATATTGCTAACAACACTTAACTTTTCAAAATGTCAACGTTCGCTTGGCGTCGTATCTCTGTCTCTCTTCTTCTCTACTTGACGGGTTTTTCGGTAGGTGGCGCATCTGTACGGTACAGCACAGGGGCGACTCGAGGAGTATGTGCGTTACAATTCGAAAAATGTATCGCGATTTTTTACTTAAAACCTTACTATTAGCAAAGGTGTTAAGCCAGTTTTACACAAGTGAAAATAATTATATTGGTAAACCAATTCAAAATATTTCGCCTCACTCAAAACATTAACGAAATATTTAAATTAAACGTTCTCTTTCGAACATTTTTTAAGTTGGACTGAAAACTGATCATTGAGAGGTTCCCATTTTATAAAAATTTCTATTGATTTTGTCTTGAATCGTTGTTTCTTAAGTACTTTGAGTATTGTTGGGGTTATTATTATGTTCCCAGGTAGTATCCAAAGTTTTACTGATATCAATAAAAATGGGTACAAACTTCTGATTGATTATGAAAGCGTCTTTCTAAGATTACAATAGTACTTATTTTTTTCGAGTAACTGCTTTGTTGGGGTTTTTTCTTTTTATCAAATTTATTAGTCTGTTATTTATATTTTTTTCATGATTTTAAACATGTTAAGTAAGTGAAGCATGATAAAAAAAATACGTAACTTTTAAGGAACGCTCCTTCAAAAATAATTCAGGTATTTAAAATATTATTATAGCATACTCCTTATTCAGAAATCAATTTAGCGAGATACGAATAAAAATCATTTTGATTCACATTGTTTCACGTCGAGCTGATGGTTTGCAATGAAAAAAGACAATGACGCTTTTCTGAGTTTTCTAAGGAATAATTCGAACAAAAGTAATTGAGTATGTTTTTATTCTTCCAAAAGGAATCGTGCCTCGGCTTCAGATCGAATTTGCATTGTAAGCTAAGAGAAAAATACCTATAATGTTAAGAAAAAACTAATGAAATATTTTTTATGAAAACAAAAATATTATAATTATTACATATTAGAGGAGAGGCGCAAAATTTGAGATACATTTCTAAAACGTTTATTTATTCAAACAGTTTATTTATTTTAATTTATATTCACTAAAACACTAATTTATTTATTAAATAATTTGTTAAAGCGATTGTTGATATTAAAATTAATTACATTTTTAGATTATCCCAGTATCCAGACCCACATACATATCAAGAGCCTCAGATATTCTTGTCGCCCAATCCATATTATTGGAAATGATGGTTGCCAATGTGTCCAAAGCAACTCTGAACATTGCCTGCGATTCTTCAATTATTGGAGTGCCCTTTGCTCCTCAGCATACCATGGTGGTGGTAGCTTTAAGATCAACCAAAGACCCAGGGGTGTCTCATAACGAAATACTACAACGATGGTAGGTAATTTTTATTGAATTATAATAGTGTTCCCAGCATGCAGGGTGTAGTTTTATCTTCACTCATGTGGATCTTGGTGCTTGATGATCTTTTATGATAGTAGAGAGAGAGAGTGAAAACCTATACGCTCAATCAATTACAGACGATATAAACGTAGATATTACTGCATTTAATTTTTAATCAATAAACTTTTCAAATTTACAGGTACAGTCCTTATTTCTACAGCAGTGCAATATTACCAAGTTTATCACATCAACTAGTTTTGTCAATTATTCTTGTAGTTGTTGTAAGATGGCCTCTAGAACACTAAAAATGATGGATTTTACCTATCTACAATAAATTATATGATTCTGTATGAGAAAAAGTTCCTGTAAATCTACAGGATGTGATATAAATAAATCTTGGAACTGTAAACGTTGATAGTCTGTCACTTGCTAAGCAGAAAAACTCATTACAACATTATCCTAAAACAATTTGTCAAAAAAACATCTACAAATCATCAGAAACATATGTTGCTTGGCAAGTGAGAAACTATCTACAGTTAAGGGAATCATTTCTCTTGCACCCTGTATATCGTTAGTATGGAGATATGAAATGTATAGTATCTATTTATGCATGCACAGAACATTATTATAAAAAACATCATTCACTGTTTTAATATTTGTATGTGTAATAAAGATTTTTAAAAAGGCTTAATTGTTTTCTAAACCAATAAAAATAAAATGTATGCAAACATTTTTTTAAATTGGATCATATATATTGCAGGGGAGTTCAGTGGATTGGAAAAATTAAATTACCGTACCGCAAAACGTGCATATTTGGGTTGGCGGTCTTGCCTATAAACTTTGCCTTGGAAAATACTTGGCTGTATAACAGTCGCCGTTTTGTTTAAGTGATATTTAGATGCCTTTATGTAAAAACCAATAGGGATAGAAAATTGAAACCATAACTATCAAAAAGAAAACATTATTTTATATAGTATAGGGTATTTTTAACATTAATTTAAAATTAATTGTAATTTTAATTTGAGAGAGACAAAAAACGAGATGAAATTTGAAAAAATGCCCATTACGTAAAAACCAATAGGGATAGAAAATTAAAACTGGAACTATCAAAAAGAAAGAATCATTTTATATAGTATAGGGTATTTTTATCATCGATTTAAATTTAATTGTAATTTTAATTTAGGGGAGAGACCCAAAAAATGAGATGAAATTTGGAAAAATGCCCATTACGTAAAAACCAATAGGGATAGAAAATTAAAACCGTAACTATCAAAAAGAAAACAATATTTTATATAGTATAAGGTACTTTTAACATCGATTTAAAATTAATTGTAATTTTAATTTAAGGGAGAGACACAGAAAACGAGGAGATGAAATTTGAAAAAATGCCCATTATGTAAAAACCAATAGGAATAGAAAATTAAAACTAGAACTATCAAAAAGAAAACATAATTTTATATAGTATATGGTATTTCTAACATTAATTTAAAATTAATTGTAATTTTAATTTAAGGGAGAGACAAAAAACGAGATAAAATTTGGAAAAATACCCATTATGAAAAAACCAATAGGGATAGAAAATTAAAACTAGACCTATAAAGAAGAAAACATTATTCTATATAGTATAGGGTACCACTAACATCGATTTAAAATTAATTGTAATTTTAATTTAGGGGAGAGACACAAAAAACGAGATAAAATTTGGAAAAATACCCATTATGAAAAAACCAATAGGGATAGAAAATTAAAACTAGACCTATCAAAAAGAAAACATTATTCTATGTAGTATAGGGTATCTCTAACATCGATTTAAAATTAATTGTAATTTTAATTTAAGGGAGAGACACAAAAAACGAAAATTTTTTTTGTGTCTCTCCCTTTAATTAAAATTACAATTAATTTTAAATCGATGTTAGAAACACCCTATACTTTATAAAATGATGTTGTCTTTTTGATGGATCTAGTTTTAATTTTCTATCCCTATTGGTTTTTATATAATGGGCATTTTTCCAAATTTTGACACAAAAAACGAGATAAAATTTGGAAAAATACCCATTATGTAAAAACCAATGGGGATAGAAAATTAAAACTAGACCTATCAAAAAGAGGACATCATTTTATATAGTATAGTGTATTTCTAACATCGATTTAAAATTAATTGTAATTTTAATTTAGGGGAGAGACACAAAAAACGAGATAAAATTTGGAAAAATACCCATTATGAAAAAACCAATAGGGATAGAAAATTAAAACTAGACCTATCAAAAATAAAACATTATTCTATGTAGTATAGGGTATCTCTAACATCGATTTAAAATTAATTGTAATTTTAATTTAAGGGAGAGACACAAAAAACGAAAATTTTTTTTGTGTCTCTCCCTTTAATTAAAATTACAATTAATTTTAAATCGATGGTAGAAACACCCTATACTTTATAAAATGATGTTGTCTTTTTGATGGATCTAGTTTTAATTTTCTATCCCTATTGGTTTTTATATAATGGGCATTTTTTCAAATTTTGACACAAAAAACGAGATAAAATTTGGAAAAATACCCATTATGTTAAAACCAATGGGGATAGAAAATTAAAACTAGACCTATCAAAAAGAGGACATCATTTTATATAGTATAGTGTATTTCTAACATCGATTTAAAATTAATTGTAATTTTAATTTAGGGGAGAGGCACAAAAAACGAGATGAAATTTGGAAAAATACCCATAATGTAAAAACCAATAGGGATAGAAAATTGAAACTAGACCTATCAAAAAAAAACATTATTTTAGATAGTATAGCGTATTTCTAACATCGATTTAAAATTAATTGTAATTTTAATTTAGGGGAGAGACACAAAAAACGAGATAAAATTTGGAAAAATACCCATTATGAAAAAACCAATAGGGATAGAAAATTAAAACTGGACCTATCAAGAAGAAAACATTATTCTATATAGTATATGGTATCTCTAACATCGATTTAAAATTAATTGTAATTTTAATTTAGGGGAGAAACACACAAAAAACGAGATAAAATTTGGAAAAATACCCATTATGAAAAAACCAATAGGGATAGAAAATTAAAACTAGACCTATAAAGAAGAAAACATTATTCTATATAGTATAGGGTACCTCTAACATCGATTTAAAATTAATTGTAATGTTAATTTAGGGGAGAGACACAAAAAACGAGATAAAATTTAGAAAAATACCCATTATGAAAAAACCAATAGGGATAGACAATTAAAACTAGACCTATCAATAAGAAAACATTATTCTATGTAGTATAGGGTATCTCTAACATCGATTTAAAATAATTGTAATTTTAATTTAAGGGAGAGACACAAAAAACGAATTTTTTTTTGTGTCTCTCCCTTTAATTAAAATTACAATTAATTTTAAATCGATGTTAGAAACACCCTATACTTTATAAAATGATGTTGTCTTTTTGATGGATCTAGTTTTAATTTTCTATCCCTATTGGTTTTTATATAATGGGCATTTTTCCAAATTTTGACACAAAAAACGAGATAAAATTTGGAAAAATACCCATTATGTAAAAACCAATGGGGATAGAAAATTAAAACTAGACCTATCAAAAAGAGGACATCATTTTATATAGTATAGTGTATTTCTAACATCGATTTAAAATTAATTGTAATTTTAATTTAGGGGAGAGACACAAAAATCGAGATAAAATTTGGAAAAATACCCATTATGAAAAAACAAATAGGGATAGAAAATTAAAACTGGACCTATCAAAAAGAAAACATTATTCTATATAGTATATGGTATCTCTAACATCGATTTAAAATTAATTGTAATTTTAATTTAAGGGAGAGACACAAAAAACGAAATTTTTTTTGTGTCTCTCCCTTAAATTAAAATTACAATTAATTTTAAATCGATGTTAAAAATACCCTATACTTTATAAAATGATGTTGTCTTTTTAATGGATCTCGTTTTAATTTTCTATCCCTATTCGTTTTTATATAATGGGCATTTTTCCAAATTTTGACACAAAAAACGAGATAAAATTTGGAAAAATACCCATTATGTAAAAACCAAGAGGGATAGAAAATTAAAACTAGACCTATCAAGAAGAAAACATCATTTTATATAATATAGGGCATTTTTAACATCGATTTAAAATTAATTGTAATTTTAGTTTAAGGGAGAGACACAGAAAACGAGGAAATGAAATTTGGATTGTTGGACGCGGTCAAAAATAAAAAGCTGCTTCAATGTTTAAGATCTAAAGCTGAATTTGCAGCAATATTATGATTCCAGCAAAGTAATTAATTAATATTTAACATTAATAATAATTATTGATCTCATTTAGAAACCAAATTATTAGCATGCTTGCAAAATTACAGTATACTCTCGTTAATATTGCAATAAATGCCTGTGAACATTTTCAATTCTTTCCGAAGATGCATTTTTTTATAATTTACAAGGATTTTATTTTTTTATTTGTATAAAAATGATTCGACAAGATTGTAACATGTGTAAATATTAATTGCAAATGATTGCATTAGTATGTTAGACATGCTATTCATTTTGCTACGGTCTATCTGATGTACCTAGGCAGACGAAATTAGCAATACTAAAAAATTATCTGTATAATATCGTTTTGTCATTTTATTACAATGGTAATTAACATTATTAATGAAGGATCGAAAATTCGCTCTTTATAGCTAATTTAGGGTATATCCCTGCTACTATCACAATCCAATAAAATGTAGCTATCTTCGGGACAAGTCGCAACGTACGGCAACACTGGATATAACCTTCTTACAAAAATAAAATTTGGTGTGTAGTGTGTCTCGGAGTAAAATATGACACTCCCTATCTCTTTTTTACGCATACTTAGTGCATTTCTCTCTCTTCAAGAAAATATGTCGATTAAAACAATTGAACCGGTCTGAAATTTTATAGAACTGTCATTGTCATTAGTGTCATTAAACGTCACTTGCTGTTTGATCTTGAATATGTTGATAAAAGAAAATCATTTAATAATCAAAAACTTCTAACAAAAAACGAAATAGAAAAAAATCACGATTGCTTTTTGAACGGATATTGTGGCTTAACAGATTTACTTTAAAAGGTGAGAGTGTTGCATATCATATTGACAATGTCGAAAGTAGGTTATTTTTTTATTTGGACAGAATTTACAATTATTTATGTTTTAAGTGTTTTTGGAGTAATTTTCAGGACATATTAAATACCCCTAACTCTAAATATGTATTTGTATTCTGTTGATTTTTAAATGAGATAGTTTCTATAAAAGTAAATTGTACTTTTTGGTGTTGGATTGTTTTGAAAATACGTATTTTAATAATGTGTGATTTTGAATTGTGACCCATTAATTTGTTAATTTTAGCAGCCTCAAATGGATAATGGCCATGTACGAGACTTCTCCGAATTCTGTGAGCAACTTAACGACATTAGAATAAAATTTCTCAAATGGGACAGCTGTGAAAGAACCGTAGGGCTTTACTACCTGATGGTAGGACTACCTTTTGCTAATGCAAGATTTTTACAATACACTCTAGAACAATGTATAAGTACTGTTAATACTCCAGCAGCACAACTATTAGAACGAAATGCCAATGATACTATATATATCTCAAGTTTTCTATTGGAGTCTCCCCAGGTAGCTTTAACATTATTGTTGACACATTTGCCACTTTTGCGGCCTGATAATAAAAAAACAGCTGATTGTTATTTGAGAGTTATAAAACAAGTTTTGATGGAATTCATTTCACCACCTATTAGGATTTATAATGAATGTGTGGAAATTATGTCTTATTTATATATTCATCCAGCTTTTAATAATGAAGACAAGACCTCTTTTAAAAATTTATTAAAACAGGTAAGAATTTAAAGTTATATTAATTGTTGGCTTGCTCATTTATTTTTTATTGGTTGTAATGAGTTTTATAGACTATTTAAATTTCTTCTACTCTTTAAAACATTTTATTTTTAATATTATTAGAAGTTCTAATATATACTTATATAAAAATTATTCAAATTTTAATTATTGTAGTACTCATACAAATATACAGGGCTCAACAAAAATATTGATCATAAATTATACCACATATTCTATGGTAGATTGAACCTTACTTATTATGTACAAAAGTGCACACAAAAATTACAGGGTGTTTAAGTTTAAAAATTTATTTGAATATTAGTTGCCTTTAAACCATTTAACATTTTTTCATGAAATTTTATATGGCCTGTTAGAATACAAGGATTAATAAAACTGAGGTAGATGCAATATTTTTTGTAGGTTTTTTGAGGGGTTTCTGCTCTCTTGACCACACAATTTTTTTGTAGTATAAAATTTAATCCAATTATAACTAGTTAAATTATATTAATAAACATTTGATTGATTGATTGAAGAGTTAGTATTTTGATTCTGTAAGTTCATTATAATGTAAAACAACCATTTTGGATGCAGATAATAGTTTTAAACAATTCAAAAATCCATTTTTGATGAGTTTTTTGTGTACATTAGGCATTTATGTAAACAATATAGTTTTTTCTCTTTTATTTCTTGATCCATATTTCAAAAAATTATCAGATTTTTAAACGACATGAGTAACAAAATATTTGAGAATTAATTAATTTTAAGGTTAAGAAAGACTGAGTTTTCTTTTTCTTTCATAGATAACCTTCTTATTCTTCTGTGTCTTTTGAACACAATACTTTTTTCCTTTTCTAAGTTGACCTGTAGTTGTAAGAAAAATAATATTTGCAGAACTAAAACATAATGAACACTGAAAAGTCTAGTTATAGTACAATACAATAATTGAAGGGCTTATACTAAAAATGTGACAAGCCACACTTTTTCAAATAGTGTCAGTTGACTTCACGACAATAATAAAGGGTTACAAGCCACATACTAAAGGCACATTATCAAAAAAAGCCATCACTAGGTTTTTTGAGGGGTTTCTGCTCTCTTGACCACACAATTTTTTTGTAGTATAAAATTTAATCCAATTATAACTAGTTAAATTATATTAATAAACATTTGATTGATTGATTGATTGAAGAGTTAGTATTTTGATTCTGTAAGTTCATTATAATGTAAAACAACCATTTTTGAATGCAGATAATAGTTTCAAACAATTCAAAAATCCATTTTTAATGAGTTTTTTGTGTACATTAGGTATTTATGTAAACAATATAGTTTTTTCTCTTTTATTTCTTGATCCATATTTCAAAAAATTATCAGATTTTATAAACGACATGAGTAACAAAATATTTGGGAATTAATTCATTTTAAGGTTAAGAAAGACTTTGAGTTTTCTTTTTCTTTCACAAAGAACCTTCTTATTCTTCTGTGTCTTTTGAACACAATACTTTTTTTCTGTTCTAAGTTGACCTGTAGTTGTAAGAAAAATAATATTTGCAGAACCAAAACATAATGAACACTGAAAAGTCTAGTTATAGTATAATACAATAACTGAAGGGCTTATACTAAAAATGTGACAAGCCACACTTTTTCAAATAGTGTCAGTTTACTTCATGACAATAATAAAGGGTTACAAGCCACATACTAAAGGCACATTATCAAAAAAAGCCATCACTAGGTTTTTTGAGGGGTTTCTGCTCTCTTGACCACACATTTTTTTTGTAGTATAAAATTTAATCCAATTATAACTAGTTAAATTATATTAATAAACATTTGATTGATTGATTGATTGATTGAAGAGTTAGTATTTTGATTCTGTAAGTTCATTATAATGTAAAACAACCATTTTGGATGCAGATAATAGTTTTAAACAATTTAAAAATCCATTTTTAATGAGTTTTTTGTGTACATTAGGCATTTATGTAAACAATATAATTTTTCTCTTTTATTTCTTGATGCATTTTTCAAAAAATTATCAGATTTTATAAACAACATGAGTAACAAAATATTTGAGAATTAATTAATTTTAAGGTTAAGAAAGACTTTGAGTTTTCTTTTTCTTTCATAAAGAACCTTCTTATTCTTCTGTGTCTTTTGAACACAATACTTTTTTTCTGTTCCAAGTTGACCTGTAGTTATAAGAAAAATAATATTTGCAGAACCAAAACATAATGAACACTGAAAAGTCTAGTTATAGTACAATACAATAATTGAAGGGCTTATACTAAAAATGTGACAAGCCACACTTTTTCAAATAGTGTCAGTTGACTTCATGACAATAATAAAGGGTTACAAGCCACATACTAAAGGCACATTATCAAAAAAAGCCATCACTAGGTTTTTTGAGGGGTTTCTGCTCTCTTGACCACACAATTTTTTTGTAGTATAAAATTTAATCCAATTATAACTAGTTAAATTATATTAATAAACATTTGATTGATTGATTGAAGAGTTAGTATTTTCATTCTGTAAGTTCATTATAATGTAAAAAAAACCATTTTGGATGCAGATAATAGTTTTAAACAATTCAAAAATCCATTTTTAATGAGTTTTTTGTGTACATTAGGCATTTATGTAAACCATATAGTTTTTTCTCTTTTATTTCTTGACCCATATTTCAAAAAATTATCAGATTTTATAAACGATATGAGTAACAAAATATTTGAGAATTAATTAATTTTAAGGTTAAGAAAGACTGAGTTTTCTTTTTCTTTCATAGAGAACCTTCTTATTCTTCTGTGTCTTTTGAACACAATACTTTTTTTCTGTTCCAAGTTGACCTGTAGTTGTAAGAAAAATAATATTTGCAGAACCAAAACATAATGAACACTGAAAAGTCTAGTTATAGTACAATACAATAATTGAAGGGCTTATACTAAAAATGTGACAAGCCACACTCTTTCAAATAGTGTCAGTTGACTTCACGACAATAATAAAGGGTTACAAGCCACATACTAAAGGCACATTATCAAAAAAAGCCATCACTAGGTTTTTTGAGGGGTTTCTGCTCTCTTGACCACACAATTTTTTTGTAGTATAAAATTTAATCCAATTATAACTAGTTAAATTATATTAATAAACATTTGATTGATTGATTGAAGAGTTAGTATTTTGATTCTGTAAGTTCATTATAATGTAAAACAACCATTTTGGATGCAGATAATAGTTTCAAACAATTCAAAAATCCATTTTTGATGAGTTTTTTGTGTACATTAGGCATTTATGTAAACAATATAGTTTTTTCTCTTTTATTTCTTGATGCATATTTCAAAAAATTATCAGATTTTATAAACGACATGAGTAACAAAATATTTGAGAATTAATTAATTTTAAGGTTAAGAAAGACATTGAGTTTTCTTTTTCTTTCATAAAGAACCTTCTTATTCTTCTGTGTCTTTTGAACACAATACTTTTTTTTTCTGTTCTAAGTTGATCTGTAGTTGTAAGAAAAATAATATTTGCAGAATTGAACCATAATGAACACTGAAAAGTCTAGTTATAGTATAATACAATAACTGAAGGGCTTATGCTAAATATGTGACAAGCCACACTTTTTCAAATAATGTCAGTTTACTTCATGACAATAATAAAGGGTTACAAGCCACATACTAAAGGAACATTATCAAAAAAAGCCATCACTAGCCAAAAAATAAAGTTGTTGCATTTTAACAAAGTTGAAGTAGTTTTTAGAAATTTATTTGAATCTATTGTGGATTGTCATGTATTTCCCCTTTTAATTATATAACAAATGACAACTACTGTGTATTTATATGTAAATTAATGCTTAAACAAATGCATTTTTATTATATTTCTTAGGTTGTATGTAAATTAAATCCCCAAACATTTGTGCATTCATCAGCGACCGAATCTAGTGATGAATCTGTAAGTCCCAATCCCGATTCTCAACAAAATTTAAAACAGAGGCGCTCAAACAGTCTTACACCAGCCCCTGATAACATAATTCCAACTCAAGACAATTGGTATTCACAAGAAAACCTAAGTGAACCCATTGCCAAACCTAGAAGCTATTCATTGTCTAGCGAAAAATCACTACTAGCTGGTTTGACCAATTTACAGTCAAGCAGATCTGAAACGAGGTTACAAGACCTGAAATTGATGAACAATCTGCCTGCCATGAAGAGCATTATATCTTGGTTGAAATCATTAAGGTTGCACAAATACAGTTGGGTGTTTAATAACTTGACATATAGCCAAATGGTTAATTTAACAGAAGAGACTTTGCAAAGGATAGGCATCACTAAGGGAGCTAGGCATAAGATTTTACTAAGCGTTAATAAACTGAAAGAGAGAGGATCCATGTTGACGGAATTAGAAACTGAGGTTATGAATGGAGGAGACTTGAATATTGCATTGAAAAAATTGAAGAGTGTTTTGCAGAGTCCTTTGCAGATTTCTGGCGGGGAAGATTTACCATCTCAGTTCATCAAAGTTATGGGAAAAGGTAGGTTTATAATTATTAAATTTAAAATATTTTTTGTAAGCAAAATTTTCTTTTCAATATTTATACAGCGGATTTGTAATTGTTGGAGAGGTTGTTTCATTTGTCTTGCTATAATTAATCGCTATAGTGGTCTAATGGTTAGATCCTTAGAGATTCCTGAATTTCCTTAATTGTTTCCACTTATAAATATTTTTATGCCATTTTTTTAATGGATTGGATGTTTATTTACCACAGAAAGTTTAAAATTCATGTATATTATTTTAAATATCTTTTATTATTTTGAATAATTTAGTAATGGCACCAAAAAACTAGTTTATTTACTAGGAACTTGTTTGTGCCCCATAGTAGGAACAAATAACTCCTAATGGTAATAAAATTAGCCTTGTTTCTTTAAAAACTATATACATTTAACTAACGTGACATAAAGAGCTTTAACACTATTCTAACATTGACAGCTCCCTTAACTTATTGCAATATTTTCTACAATTTCGGATGTGTACACCTGTCAGTCTTCTTGAAGAATGTCTTAAATCGCGCAAATGTGTTTGTCTCTAATGCTGGTTCGAGGATAGTGATGGTGTTCCTAATTTTTATTCATTGTTGTTTCTTGAACTCCCTGACCAGGAAAACATGCAAGTCTTTAACAGTGTTTGGTCCCGAACTCAGCAATCAATCTCTGGAAAACTTCCGCCGTTTGAACTCCTTTATGAGTAATAAATTTTATGATAATGTGCACATTCTTGTACAGATGGTTTTTTCAGTTTGTACACAAATGTTGATGTTAAGACAACCGTCAGACGACTATCTGATGATGTTCAACTCTTTATGTGAGAAAGCAGAAACTATGGACGCATTTACGGATGAACAGAAAAAAAGAGTAAACATGTGGCGGAGTCAGCTTATTAAAGATGATATAATTCCTGCACACAATGGAAAACCAAAGAAAAACAATAATAATCATCATCATCATAGGTGAGTTAAAGCTTCTTCTTCTTTTTACTTTACAACAATGTTCTGTTACTATCTGCTAGGTATCATCCTTATGTTATATTGACAAACATTTCAGATGGTAACCTTTAATGAGTATCTGAGTCTTTATAACCATGATAAAGGTGGATTTATCATTTTTTCTTATTTTTTAATTATTCATAATTTACGAATCACACTGTATATTTTTTATGTTCACTATTTATATCCTTTGTCCAGTATAGTGCCAAATGAAGAATAAATAACATTTTATATCCCTTTCTGGACTTAAAAAATTAACAAATTTGATTCACTTCAAAACAATAACTTGTGTATCAATAATTTGAAATTTTGTGTGCATATTTGAATAATTAATTTTTTAACATAACAAAATATTAAAGTAATAAACTATGAACTGATAATATTAAAATGAATGGACAGATTCGTGTGTATGGGTATGTGTAATTAAATTATGATATTTGTAAAATATGTTTAATTTTAAACAAATATTAAAAAGAGAAAACATAAAACATTGACATCACGAAAAGAAGCTGTATTTTGAGACACATTAACGCTGCAATAATTGTACATTTTAAAAGTTAAAAATAACGGAAAACCAAGTGTCTAATAGATACAAAAGAAATGAGACCTTTGTATGCTTGTGTTTGGCAATTACAGGCAAGTGTTAGTTAAAGAAAGTTTCTTCTGAAAGCGGAGATTTCTCCACTTCTTATTAGATTGTAAATTATTTTTCAAAATAAAAAATATATTGACTTGTAGCTTTCCCACCACCATCTGGTTAGTGATCTACAGGTATATGGTCCAGATCTTTGTTTTTTCCCACGTCTTTTTCTTCTAACGGTCATAGTTTAAATTTTTTTTTTAGAAGTTTAATATTTAATTTCTGTCGTTCGTAACACACTGTCTTAGTTTTAGATGTTTCTGCTTTGGCCTCCGTTGCAAACGTTAGTCTCGCAGACATTTTGTAATCTCTAAAAAAAAACCAGGGAATTTGGATTGGTAATGGAAAATCAGGGCAATAGAATCAAAAGTTGTGGTTATTTTGAAAGTTTGTAAATAAAGTTTTTAGGTTGGTGAATATCTTTTTTTTTTATACAAATCAATAAAGATTTTTTGGTATTATTGGTCAAAGTTTTTTATTTAAACAGCCCTACTTATGTTTCGTAAATGTTTTATTTCCATCTTCTGGTGCAGTCAATATAATTTTAAAAAACTGAGGGTCAAATAAGAAACAATGTAAAATTTAAAAATCGGTAAAAAGAAGAGTTTTTAGTTTTTATAGAGTTAAAAATTAATTTTTCCTTTGTTTTATTATACTAAATTATATTTTGAATAAACCTTCACCCAATTGGAAATGATTTTAGTCGATTATAAAATTTTAAATTGTTTCTTATTTGCCCTTGTGTGTTTTTAAAAATTATATTGACTGCACCATGACTGATATTACCAAGAAACTTTTATTTATTTGTATAAAATTCTATTGCGGTCAGGAAATTACCCTTGTTCAAAAAAATGAAGTAGAAACGATCTTTAATTAGATTTTTTTAAACATTATCAAGCTTGCAAGGGCTTTTGACCTTTTAAGGTCATCTTCAGGCAAATGAAATATTAGTAGTACAATCACTATAAGAAATTCATAAACTTGGTCAACAATTTATGTGAAAAATGTAAAAATTGTAAGTAGAGAACTGAAAGTACAGTATCTTCTGTTATCTTCCAGATAACATTTATTCTTCAGTATAAATTACTGTAGGTGGTAAAATACAGTGCCTAAAAGAATTGCACTAACTACTCAATATGTAATAAAAAAGGGTGAGGATTGAATTTGAAAGATTTCTTAGAAAAACTATTTATTTAATTTATTTCCAATTTACCTAATTTATTCAAAATATTAATAACTGAAACCCTATAAAGAATTTATACTAATTTCTTTTAGATTTTATTTACAAAAGAAAGTACAATTATTGTACATTAAATTATTAGATAATTTCTAAATTTGAGATTATTTTAAGTATTTTAAAGGGTCAGTGGCTGTAAGGTTTTATTCCAAAACTGTTAAACTTAGGACTATTATTGTTTTTTTTTGCGTAATTTCTTTTGTTTCCCATGCTTGTCGATTACCGTGAGTATCGGGTCGATGGTGTAGCGGTCTAGCGCGCTTATATTCATTTATAGGCGAGTTTATGAGTCCGAGACTGCTGGGCTTCGAATCCCAGACCAGACCATGTGGATTTTTTTAAATTGCATGGTTCGGTTTAGGATTTGATGTGTGCCGTATTAATGGAAATTCAATGTCTGTTGATATGACATGCAGATTATAAAATCGCCATACATTATCGTCTCGATGAAGGTGGGTGAGGTTTTCCGGGTTTTCCTCACCTGTAAGTCAAATGGCACCATCAATCATCCTTAAGTCGCCCCGGAGCGCCACGGCAAATAATAATAATAGCCGTCCCTTCCCCTACACAAGTCGTTCAGTCGACTTCAGGGGTTGAAATTCACTCGTAAGGGGGTGAATTAGGGAGAGTATTATTGTTTACAATAAAATTTGTTTGAAAAAATATACAGTGAGGGTCGTAAGTCCGGAATAAATGATAAATCATTCTATATCTTGCTTATTTAGAACCACCTTGATGTCCCCTATCTATCCCTAAACATGTGAGCATTTCCCAATGAATCGCACCATTTATACAAAGGTGACTGAGGGGGAAACCACTAAGGTAAAACGTATTCTCATTTCAGTGATTTTGTTGAAAATCCACGTTAATTTTATACGAAATTGGTAGGGAGTGGTTTACCCCTCTGGCGAATCATTTTTTTACAATACTACTATTTTAATTTTGATTTTAGAGCCTTAGTGGACAAACAAAAATTACAAAAATTGTGCAACTCGGTTCAAACAGCAACATACGCCAAAAAGAGCTCTTCGTTCCCCAACATGCAGAACAGCCCTCAGTGGAATACCCATCGACATTCCGTAGGAAGCATAACCTTACAAAATCAGCTGTTTTCGGCCAACACAAACAATCCCGTAAGGAATCAGAGCTTTCAAAATTATATAAACCATACGATCGAACAGAGTCCTAAACAAATCAGCTTACCAAAGTTAAAGTTGAAACAAGATAATACGGACATTGAAAGTAGTTTAGAGTCATTGTGTATACAAATGATGGAGCACGCTCTAGGACCTTAATGAAAATTTCTATTAGGAATTCAATAGAGTTTAAATGGTATCATCATGTTGGGATTTTTAGAGTTGGACACCAATTTTGAATTTATTAAAATGACCATATAAGTTTGTCTGTGATTATTGATAAGCGAAATTTCTATCACTTGTGTTTCTGTTTATAAACTGTCTGTTCTTATATGGTTTCACGATTGTCACAGTTTTTGATCCAACTCTTAAAATACGCCTACATAACAAACGGTAATGGCCTATTTTAATGACATTTTTTGTGCTATTAGCACAATATATTTTTATTTTATGAATTGTAAATAGTTTTGAACTGCTGGCAGATTATTTTATTTTCCAATAGCCTGAGAACCAGGCGTCAAAGTCGTAAGGGCAAATTAATTTAGCCTGAATAAAAAAAATTGTTATTAATTGCTAAATACAAAATAGAAACAAAGTGCAACGTTAGTTAGCTTGTCTCGAAACAGAAATATCCTTTGTAAAACACATTAGTTACTCTTAATCATATTTGAAGACACAAGTGGATGAAGGGCCTATGCAACATTTTTTTTAAATGGTGATTTTCTGTGAATGCAGGGCTTATGTATCTAAAATTCGTTTAAAATGTCTTCCGTGACAATATATCATCAAATATAGAAGTTGCTATTTGATAAAGGACCCATGTACTAGGAAATAACTGCCAAACAATAAACTTTGACATGAAATATCTCGTAAAAATTATTTTGCTACATTTGTGTCTTCATTTATTTTGATGCAATTGCTGTCAAATGAAATCTAGCTTTCTCTCTATCAATATCGAGGGTTTCCTTTGTTTAGACTCAAAATGGAAGCTCCTATAAGAAACTTGCATATATTTTGATGCAATTGATGTCGAAAGAAAGTTGACAGCTTTCTCTTCAACAATTTGTTGTTATGTTTAGCAATCAATAAATAATCACTTTTTTAATTCAGTCTAAAATAATAATTTACCTCTTCGATTTATTGTGATCGACTCTTTAGATTGTAGGTTTCAGTTTCGCGTTTTTATTTTTATTGTGTGTATATTAACTACATGTTTATGTTGCAAATTATGTTCTAAACGTTTTTTTTTTTTTGTAAATACTGCTGTGACGATTGATGATTACTCATATTTTTTTGTATGTATTGTTTCTCTTTCGAGGTAATTTCTTTTTTATCCTCTTAATTTTTCGAAAAATGTGACATAATATGGTATATATTTCTTCAAGTTTTTGAGCAATGACGTTCGACACATGCTATTAGGAAAAATAAGGGATGTAGGTGTGTAAAAGATTAAGGTGAAGTATCGCTTAATTTTGAATTATTCTTAAAAGAGATATTTACCTAATTCCCAATAGTTTTCTTAATGAAATGTGTCTCAAGAGTTTAAGTTAATTTCAACACCCTATATGAGGCTATGAGTGCAATAGTGGACTAACCCCAAATGGCCTTATTGCTAAAAATTCAATTTAAAAAATGTTTAAACTTTTCGATTTAAATTAGAAATATTTTAAATATGTTTTACGGTGTTTCAGTATAACTTCATAAGATGTGGGTTAGTCCATTTTCCCTCTAAGCAAGTAAAAGAATTTATTAAGGTTAGGCAATTTTCATTAAAGATATTTGATTATTATTCAAAAGGTTTGGTACAAATAAATCAATCGAGAAAATAATAATCTTTCACGTACAAAAATAATAGATTAAACACATCAAAACAGATGAAACAGATCTAGTCTTCTTCTTCTTCTTCTTCAGGATAATCTAACATTTCTCCACCAGTTCCTTGTGCTGCAAACCGAAGATTTTCATAAAAACCATGATACACAGGGGGAATAAATTCTTTTAGCTGAAGGAGATCTTTTTTTTAGCCGTCGTTAATGACATTACCGTTAGGCAAGTTTTGGAGCCTGTAATACTGATTTTTGCTTACTTATATCAACAGTTTCAAAGAAAACATCGTTGTTATTAGAGTACTTAAACTGAATATTAAATGGGCAGTAATTCTGAGAGCGTAGCCATTGCATTTTCAGCCATTCCACTTTAATTTATCTTTGGAAATTTTCCTATTGTTGATGTTATTCAAAGATTTTGTAGAAAACAAATCGAAACTTTTCATTTCTATCAATTTGAATGGATTTTTTTTCTGGCATTATTACCTTATTCCAGTCTCCAGGAATAAAAATATTCGGATGAAATTTCTTTTCCTTCTCAATAACTCAAAAATCTTAATCGCAGGGTAGATTAGATTAGATTTAATTAGGACTATGGGCCATGTGGCCTCCCCCACCTCGACCTTTTCAGATCTATTGTGGATATCCTTTTATCATTGTTTAGAGTACCCTGTCTAATGCGGTCTTTTGTAGTAGACTCCATAGACTGGGAAGTAATTCTCCGGTATAGCTAGTTTCCCTTGGTTTTTCTTCTCCAAGTGTAAGGAATCTCAGTCTTACTAGACCTTCGCAGTAGCACAATACGTGTTCTGCCGTTTCCTCTTCTTCTTGACAGAATCGGCACAAGGCCTCTTCTGTCAGGCCGATATTGAACATATGTTTGTTAAGCCTACAATGCCCTGTTAATAGACCTACTAGTATTCTAGTATTTTTCCTATTAAGGCTTAGTAGATGCTCGGTGAGTTTAGACGATGGTCCCTTTAAGAACTTTTTGGCCTGTCTCTGTCCTGGTGAGTTTTCCCACCACTCCTGAGATTTTTTAAACATCCACTGCTTTGTGCATGTTCTAATAGTTGTTTTTGTTACACCACAGAAAGGTTCTGGGCCAATAAGAGCATTTGAAGCTCCTTCTCGGGCTAGTAAATCAGCCTCTTCATTGCCTTTGTGTCCCAGGCTAAGGTTAGTCTGTTTTGACTACCCAGCTCTGTTAGGGCTTCCAAACAGTCCCACACAAGCTTTGAGTGTACCTGCATGGAACTGAGTGCTTTTAACGTCGCTTGACTGTCTGAGTATATGACAATGGCTTTTCCATTTACCTTCTGTCTTAATACTTCTTTTGCGCAGTGATGTATTGCTGCTATTTCTGCCTGGAATACTGTCGCATATTTACCTAAGCTCAGTGAGATTCCTGTCTTTGGCTTGGGCAGGGTAAGTATTAATGGCCACTAACTAAAAACTTATGATCTATTTGGTCAACTTCAAATTTTGGTGATGAAACTATGTAATCACACAGCACAGACATTTTTATATTTTGATTCTGACCACCACATTGGTCACAATACATGATAATTTTTTTTCCAACCTCTTTAGGACCTCTCGAAGCCACCGATTCATTCCATACAAACATGTATGAATCATTATTTGCCATGTTATGAACCGAAAAGTAGTAAGTCAAGAGCTGCCTCTTATAATAACAGATCGATGTTGTTAAAACAGGTGTTGGCAAGGTTTTCATAAGGTCAAAGCATATAACTGTAACGTCTTCTTTTGATAAATCAGTGTCTTCTTTCAAGCCATTCCTTACTCTTTCGGCTTTTCTTTGGCGAAGTTCACGTTCAACTTCAAGTTCCCTTTTTTTTACTTCATCAACTGTTGATTTAATTTTGATATTAAAAAGATCACATTTTTTGCATGAATCTGATATAGGGGGATGGTAATGTAAGTTAAACTCCTTATTAAAGATTTCTCTAAAAACAAAATAAGAAACAAGGCCGTTTGACTCAAATCTGGTGTGATTGCTTTTCGGTCTACCGTAATGAGATTCGTAACTTGGGAACTTCTTAATGAACTCTTAATGAACTCTCTTTATTGGCTGGTAGATGTTTTCCCCTTTTATCGCATGGAGATGGTAAACCGATTGATTTATTTTTTGGTAGTCTCTCTCTTAGAGTTTTCGTTCTCAGTATACTTTCGTAGTTTCTTTACAACTTTAACTAATGAAAATAGATAAGAAGTCTGTAGATCAAAACTTTGTAAAGCATAAAAATTAGTGTGCTGTTCCCTTTGTCGTTCTTCAGGTAGTAAAACATGACATTTATTTTTACAGGCACAAGCAAAAAATAGGAAAGGTTTTGAAAGCACCGTTTTTCCAGATTTTGTAGTAAATTCTTCTCCGGTACATCTTTTCCTTTTATTTGCAGCTCGTCTCCAATTCTGCTCATGACGAATACGCTTTTTTGGCTTAAATTTCCTTGTTTTTTCCTCTTGTATTTCCTCACTACTTGTTCCTTTTGTCTTATTTACTTCACTTTCTTCTTCTGATGGAACAAATTCTGATCCTGAATCTTCATAAGGATCGGACTGATCTGAGTCTAACATACCTGGAAAAATTAAAAAACCTATCAACTTTCATTGTTCGCTGAATTTCTCAAACAAAAATCAAATAAAATCCATAATTTCAACCTTTTTTACGTTAATTTTCAAACTCGAAAGTACTTACGTTCCGTTATGATGGTACCCTGGTTGTTTAATTTTTGCATACTTTTAGAGCACTAAATGAAAACAGTTGTTTACACCCCAAAATCGTCAACTAAACCGCAATTGTTCAGAAGCAAAGTGGACCAAGTGCACTTAGTCCACTCTGCTTCTAATTTGACAGACAAATCTTAAAACACCAAAACTGTGTTGTCATCTATTAGAAAAATGTAAAAGGTTGTTTGGTCGACTATGCATTCGAAAAATTATCAAATTAGGTGTTAGATACAGTATCAAGACAGAAAATGTACCTAGTTTTGTGGGTTAGTTCACTATTGCACTCATAGCCTCATATAATGCGTATTTTCTAAATGTATACTTCTTTTTAAACGGGCAATACTGAAGGCTTATTCATTTTTTAAATTGCTATTGTTTTAAAATTATTACTAACTTATTCAAAAATCAGGTGCTATCTGATACAAATTCGTACTATATTTTGATATTTAGATAAACTAATGCAGTACGCAATGTACACTCAAAAAACAAAAGCTCTAGGCCCTCTGGTACAAATACATACCACATTTTTACAGTTTAACTATTAATTTATTTTTTCTAATTGGTGGTACATATTTGTATCACTAAATTTTTGTCGTACATTTATGTACCGCTCGGGAAAAACGTTCAAAAACTAACTTTATTTAAATATAGAAAGCTCTAGGCTCTATCTGGTACAAATACGTACCACGTTTTGACAGTTAGGTGAACTATTGACTATCAGATGTATATTAGGCTCGATGTTTCGGTCAAATACAATTGACATATGATTCATAATAACGTGGTACATTTATGTACCAGCGCCCAGTAAAAGGTTAAACGACATTTATAAAATAAAAGGAATCACATAGATTTAGGTCTTGTGGTCTTGGTGGCCGTAGTTTTTTAGTTTAAAAAAAGAAGTATAAATTTAGGAATCACCTTGTATAACAAATTTATATATAGAAAAATGTAATAAATACAATACTATTTTTATGTCATACTCTTGTATTACCATTGGCGTACAGCGCTCACCAATGTCTGTATATTTTGTTATTATTAAACGTACTTTATCATAATTTAATACTCAGTTGCTGGCGCCATTGGTACTTAGTTTTTATTATTTATTTATTCTATTATTTGTATAATTTGCATATAAAACAAAGAAATGAATTATCTGTATATTGTGGATAGTGTATGTAATATGTGATTGTTCGTGTGATAACGATTGACATTTTTTTGTTTAAAAATGATACAGAAGACTGATTTCCATCTAAATAGATATGACTTAACTAAAAACTGCTTTTTATTTCGTTTAAATATTCTCCGATTCCAAAACAAGTGGGAATCAATTTGGTGCTGAGTAAGTTGATCTTTTCGATTGGACCATGTTTTTTTTTTCAATAAACTATCGGTTAGTAAAATCCTGATGATATAAACGAGTAGTTTTCTAAGATAGACAAGAATGTAGTTTTATTTTGTGTCAAATATAATATATTTTTAATTTTTTTATTAATTTTTATTTTTATTAATTTTTATTGACTTTTATTAATTTCTATTCATTTTTATTAATTTTTATTGATTTTTATTAATTATTTTTTTATCTACTTTTATAACTATTTTTATTTATTTTTATCTATTTATTTTAATTCATTTTTATCTATTCATTGTTATTCATTTTTATTTATTATTTAGTTTTCCGATACTCACCATATCCCTCCCCCTTAAAACCTTGAAATACGTCACTCCCAGATAGCACAAAGTCGTCTTAAAGACGTCTAGCATGACATTCGAGACGTCTTTAAGACGTCTGGTATTTCCTGAAAGACGTCTTTAAGACGTCTTAGAAGACGTCTGATGTTACAAAAAGCGACATCTTTAAGACGTCTTATTAATGACTTATATTGGTCTGTAGAGCTTAAAATAAGCCATAAATAAGACGACTTATTAATAACTTGTAATGGTCTTGTGAAGCCTTAAATAAGACGTCTTTAAGACGGCTCATTAATAGCTTATAATGGTCTTAAGAAAGCCATAAATAAGACGTCCTTAAGACGTCTTATTAATGACTTATAATGGTCTTGTGAAGCTTTAAATAGGCCATAAATAAGACGTCTTTAAGTCTCATAAATGGTTTATAACGGTCTTGTGAAGCTTTAAATAAGCCATAAATAAGACGTCTTTAAGACGACTTATTAATAACTTGTAATGGTCTTGTGAAGCCTTAAATAAGACGTCTTTAAGCTTATAATGGTCTTATGAAGCCTTAAGAAAGCCATAAATAAGACGTCTTATTAATGACTTATAATGGTCTTGTGAAGCTTTAAATAGGCCATAAATAAGACGTCTTTAAGTCTCATAAATGGTTTATAACGGTCTTGTGAAGCTTTAAATAAGCCATAAATAAGACGTCTTTAAGACGACTTATTAATAACTTGTAATGGTCTTGTGAAGCCTTAAATAAGACGTCTTTAAGCTTATAATGGTCTTATGAAGCCTTAAGAAAGCCATAAATAAGACGTCTTTAAGACGTCTTATTAATGACTTATAATGGTCTTGTGAAGCTTTAAATAGGCCATAAATAAGACGTCTTTAAGTCTCATAAATGGTTTATAATGGTCTTGTGAAGCTTTAAATAAGCCATAAATAAGACGTCTTTAAGACGACTTATTAATAACTTGTAATGGTCTTCTGAAGCCTTAAATAAGACGTCTTTAAGACGGCTCATTAATAGCTTATAATGGTCTTATGAAGCCTTAAGAAAGCCATAAATAAGACGTCTTTAAATAAGCCATAAATAAGACGTCTTTAAGACGACTTATTAATAGCTTATAATGGTCTTGTGAAGCCATAAATTATACATCTCTTTTATTAATGGCTTATAATGGTCTGGTTAAACTTAATTAAACCATAAATAACACGTTCATTATTTTTATTCTGCTAATACTATAACCTGTTTATAATAATATAAAATAATTTAAAAATGGGTATCATCGTGCATCTTGGTTATTAAAATTGGTAGAATAACCTTGCAGGTTATAAAGAATGCAAAAAATAGAATTAAAAATATTTATTGATAAAATATCTATTAATCACAGGTCACTAAGAGTTATTTTCTTTGTAGCGTATTCGATCACTCCTCTTTAGCCATAACTGGATTGATTTTTTTCTTTCTTTTTGATTTAAAGTTGCCTTTGTATAGTCTCTCCTAAAAAGAAATTTAGGTAAGAGCATTATAGTCACAGGAAGTTAGTAAAAACCGAAAGAACAATTATGAAACAAAACAAAAAATTAATTTCTTACAATTTTAAATCAATTTTTATAACAAATCATTTAATACAAGATGAGCTATTCTACTTAATCGCCTATTTTAACAATTTTACTTAAAAAAAAAATCTATCCCACGGGAACCATATATTTTTCCGGTATAAAAAGTAGCCTATCTGCTATCTTTATGCCAAATTTCATCCAGATCCATGCATTTATATATTAGTAGGATTTACACTTTGTTAGCTCTAAAATTCTGGTCGTAGAAAAATTATAGCATGCAACAAAACCCTTCTTCCATAATGCGCATAAAGATTAAATTTCTCTCTTCCCTTTTTTTAAATTTATTCCAAGTTACATGAAACTTTTTCTGAAATGTTAATAAAAAAATAACTGTAAAATCATGTTCAAAAGACACTTCTTAAAGTTGTCAATGCATTGAAAATTTCATGAAAATCGGTCAGTATTATTTAGATAATTATTAATAAAAAAAGTGTAAAAGAAATTCCGCACGCCCATGGTTTCTAATTCCTAGAAAATCATTCGTTGTTATCGATCGATATTTCAACGGTGGTATGATCTCTTTTTAAGTTGTTCGAGTTCGAGACATTCAGTTGTATTACAATAGTTATTTGGCAAATTAGATGTGTTAATAACATTTCCATTTGGGATTTAAAAATAGGTTGTTTTATTGTTTTAAGGGAAATTATTCAATTGTTTCAAAATTCAACACCCTGTATTTTATGGAAGAGTGGCCTCGGACCGAATTTTCGGGGAGCTCCTATTGCCCTCGTCCTGGAGCCGCCCGTGCCTTGTTTATGTATTTGCAGATCCTTAAACCAGACAGAGTAAAAAGTAACTACAACCAATGAAAAAATTACTTAACATAATATAATGGCTGCTGATAGTGTAGAGGTGAAAGAACGTTGTTTTTTTTTAAGAAATACATTGTGATTTTGTGTTAGAAAAATGAAAAATCAATTTAAATACAATATTAGGTAAGTTGCATCATACTCGTATTATTTAAAAATCGAAAATATCTCATTATTTACTGCATTTCGAAATTTACACCAAAAAAAGCATGCAAGATTTTTTTTTATATGATGAAATCTCGATAAAATTCTTTTCTTTCCTTTTTAATTTTAATTCGTTTGAATAAAAACATGTTAATCTATTTTGAATTAACAAAAAAGAACATTTTTACTTTGGATTTAGTACATTTTTAGCATATTAACATAATGTTTAACAAAAAAATAAAATTTCAAATAAATATTTTACTAGTTGCACATTTTCTATTGTTACAACGGGCATATATTCAATTTTCCATTATATTAAAATTAAATAATGCCGGCAAGATTGAGCTTGTCGCACGCTTGACGTAGCGCGGTGATCATTTCGTTATAAACCAGGTAAAAAAAACATGCATGGGTGTAACGTAAAAAGGGGATATGAGTAAAACAAATTAAATTTTGATATTTTTAAATGGGCAGGTTAGGTTTTTTTATTCAATCTGATTTTTAATGATGCAATTTAATAATTACTGATTGCTACTATTATTTTTAACGGCGACATTTAAATGTTTTGATATAGGTATAGTGACTTCCAGGGCAATACGGAGCAGTAGCGTAGCTTGACACAGGGAGCATCGGTGCAAAATATTTTTTAGGGCCCTCTGAGTAAAAAATATGCTCATAAATAATATATGAAATAATAAAAAAATGGTTTTTTTAAAAATTTTAAATAAATACACAATTTTAATAAAAACTAAAAATAAATAGTAAAATTAAATAGGAACATATGCAAATCTGATAGAAATAAAAAATAAACTAGGAGAGAGTGGTATGCATTAAGACATTTTTTTGGTTTAGGCCATATTTTTATTTTGGCAGTTCGGGTGAAAATATTGAGATCAAACTTGGTATAGTGGTATATAAATATAAAAATCGCATACTTAAAAATAATTCGCCCCCACCTTGTAGCCGATAGATATATATATATATATATATATATATATATATATATATATATATATATATATATATATATATATATATATAGGGGGTGTAACCCTCAAAAAAGTTACAAGTTTTTCAAGAAAACAATTGATTTTTTTTCTGCATAAAAACCAAAAATATTATTTTTTTGAAATTTTTCTAAACATTTATTTGGATCTGATCTGTCATAGTTCGGATGCATTTAAAAATAGTTACAGAGGAAATAAAAATTTAATTTTTGACATATTTATAAAAGACCTCATTTTCAACGTTTCTGTCTAAAAATCTTACCCCCACCGTCCTCTAGAAAAAGATAGACAGGAGGCATAAAAAAAAGGTTAAAACCTTTTAAATAAAATGTTTATTTTTATGTACATATACAGGGTGTCCCGAAATTAGACGGTCATATTTTGCATAATCTGCATCCTAAAATAGGAGTAAAAGTTTATATAAACATAGGTCCGAAAACGTTTCTTTTCCGAGATACAGGGTGTTAAAAGTGAAGTCCTGAAGACACTTTTTTGTAAATTTTCTGTCTATTCAATAATTGAGGAATGTCACTATCATGAGTATGTATTCCATTAAGTCTTGAAAATGCTCCTCCTAGTAAATATAATTTCGCATTACAACCTCTTTTTGTGCAGCTCCAACATTCCTCCTTAGTTTTTTGAGCATCTTATATAAATAGAACTTACATTGTTCGACTATTAATAATTTTTGGCCCCTTTCACGATACTTTCCGTAATCTCCATTTCTTGACAACTTTAAAATAATTGAACTTTAAAATTAAACTTCACAGGCGAAAGAATAGCAAATACTAATAACATCTACATTTTCGAGCTATATGCAAATTCAAAAAATATAAAACTCATTATAGTATCCAAAAATTCTTAAAAGAAAATCTACAAAGTAGTTTAAGGGATAATTTGGTTGGTTTAAATTACATTTTAAATTTTATCTTCTCAGAAATATTATCTACAGATTTCAAAAATGATTTTTAAGGGACGCCTATGTATACTTAAAATTGTACCTTTATTTGGACTGCAATTCGGCATTTGTAAAAGTTTAGACTGCAGTTTACCGGCACCGGTCCACTTATTTCTTTTATACCTCTCCAACACTTACAATTCCTGCTTTTCTCTATATCCTATTTGCTGCTGCTGCTGCCACATCCTCTACCTTACTTCCTTCATTACCTGGTTCTCTTTGCTATTTCTTCTGACTCCTACTTCTTTTTTCTATACATTTTTAAGGTATACCTTTTTCTATCTTTTATAATTTTATCTTCTTTCATGTATTGTACATCAAATATCCTTGATGGAAAATGGCTCGCATAATTTTAATAATAATTATTATTTTTTTCTAAATATCATACTAATTCTTGTTTTTTCTTTTCAGCGAATATCGGTAAAGAAAAATTTAAATCGCCGCTAACTTCGCAAGTTATTCGGTAGTACGATATCGATGGTCTGAGCTTGTGTTCTCTTCACCACTGACAATAAAGATGTTTGTTCTTGGAAAGTATGTCCTGGGATTTACACTTTCCAGGATCAAATAGACAAGGATGCAGTTATTCAACCCAGAGATACATCTACGTGTCAAAGGGTTGTAATAGAATTGAACATAATACGATGATCATCAATATCGTCGGGTATAGAAGATTTCCGGACTCGTTTAAATCGGAGAAAATATACTGGAAATAATGGATATTATGGAGAAGGAGTAAGAAATTATGGAACAACAAATAAAATGAAACAAAAGTAGGAATGGTGAGTATTTTCATTTAAATTTAGCTTCTTGTGTAAACAAATTATTACATTCATAGTTTATTTTTATTGACATTTTTCTTGTACTTGTTTTTAGGTAGAATATGCGGCTTCAAAGGGTGAGTCTTTTAATTTAACTTTAGCTAAGAATAGTTAATTATTATTAATAGCAGCCATATCGGCACCACGAGTAATTGGCCCCCCATCCTACTCTATTTGACCAACGTTAAATTTAAATCATTGCGCTTAATTTTAAGTGATTTCGATTTACTTTATTTAATAAATAATCCAAAAGCAGTACTCAAGTGTGTATTGGAAATTTTTTAATTTTAAAAATGTCATACTTGATTATGGATTTTCAAAAATATCTTACCAATAATAATTTTTGTTGTTGTGAAATTAAAGATAATTTTTTTCCATTTGTACAAAACTGTTTGGGACACTGTACGAGTAAGAATAGAAATTATATTTATATTTTTTTGGAAATTAGTAATTAACTTGAACTGATATACTTTAATAATATTACAATGACCAGTTTTTAAGATGCTTACAAGGCGCTAAATTTAAAAAAATACCCTTTTTAAAATATATGTGTATTACAGCTAGATAAGTTATTGAAAATTATATTGATTATAGATTTAAGAACAGATTTGGGGGGGATATAAATATCTTTGAATAGAACATCAAAGTTAAATACTAGTTCTAAAATAATAGAAAACATTTTATTATGATTATGGTTCTACTTTATTAAATATTATTAACATTAATTTGCTGTATTAATATATGTAACTAACTATTAGAGTGGGATTTTACAATAATAATACTTTCTTTCACATTTATCCCCGTTTTCAGCAACCACACTAGCATTAGGAAAATACTCAAAAAGTACTCTGTATCCTTTAACAATCCCCCTTCCCCTTTCTTTTATTGCTCTTTGCATTTCGGCTATAAACGGTTTTATTTTGCATAGTAAAAGCTGAACACAACCCGTCTCTTCATCAAGGCTCCTTTCTGCCACATAATCGATGATATTATTAGAAAGATTTTCATCTTTAGTCTCTTCTACGATTTCCGAAATCATGTCATTCTTCATCATCCAATCGAAAGGTTTATCTTCTTCGATTTGTTTATATTTTTGTTTTGGACTAAGGGTTGATCCAATCTGAAAAGAACAATAATTTTTAAACAGTGGAAATAGTTTTAATGATAAGAAAAAATGGTTTTTATCTCATTTCGTATTTTTTAAATATTAATATTATTTCAGAATTATACATAACTTCACATTTTTTAATATCAATTGACCCAAAGATTTCTAATAGAATAGATACGCTTTGTTTACATTCATTTTGTTCCACAGAACAACTAAAATTTATACCTGATTTTCTATTTTTTTTTTGTGTTTTTTTTGTAATTTTTTATGACATACTTTTGATACTAAAACTCCCAAATATGTAAATGATTGATTAAATCTAGACCGATACAATATTTCTTACCAGTTGTGCTATTAGTATAATAGCATTCACAGTTATAGCGCTAATTTGTCTGGATTCAAAACCAAAAAGCCTCAAAAATCCGGAAAAAATATTTGATTTCTCTTCAGTTTTTTCGTGATTAGTTTTTCCTCCAAGTGCATTACTTACTAGATTAGCAACTTTACTGGCGTGATCAGAGGAAAATAATTCTCCAGCCATTTTAAAACCTTAGAATAATAAAAAGAAAGTTTTAATAAAAAAATTAGAATCCTTTGCATTTAAAGATAAGCTTAGCTTTTCTTAGACGTCATTAACTATATTATAGTACAAAAATGTTTTGAACAATTGATACCTACTATACTTACGCGGGTTTCGGATTAAAAATTTTATGAGTATTTCCAGGTAAGTACCCGAAAGTTTGACCTGTTCTTTGGGGAAATATCAACTGGTTAAATGAAATGAAAAATAATGTACAACTTTTTAATTAAATAATAATGGAGAATCTTTTGTATAATTGAGAGCAGAATTAAACTTCTTCATTAATGGAGTCTAATGTGGCTATTATAAACCTAATAATAATAATAATTTTATATTACACTTCACACAGAAAATATGGTCTATGTATAATAAGAGGGTTATTTAGCTCAAATAATTTGTTTCATGTAGAGAATTTCAAATGAAAAGTAAAAAAATTGAACTTGCCAACAAAAATGAAAATCAGTCATTATCATCCAAAATATATTAATTGTCATCATCATCATCACTGTCATAACCATTAATTGTTATTATGATTGGACTTATTTCGTTTATTTTATTTTCACGAGTCCATCAATCTTTTATTAGTTTCTTGCTCTTGGATATACAGTTCCGCCACACTTCTGGAGTTGCAATTGAAAGTGCTTTTCGCCAACAGTCCAAGAATTCGTTGGACTTTGTTTAATACTTCAGAATGGTAAGGTGCATTGTCTAAAATAATTACGCTGGGCTCACTTAAACCTGGGAGAAGTTTTTCATGCAACCATTTTACAAACATTTCTGTGTTCATATTATCGTGATAGTCACTGGATTTTGATTTAGATGAAAATATTAAATCAGCTCCTTCTATATAACCCGATTTCTCTCCTGCATGTAAAATTATATGTCGCTTTCCTTCTCCATCGGTATGTTTGATGGACTTTACGTTATCATCTTGCCATATTCTCTTGGTTGCACTCCTAGAAAATATCCATGTTTCGTTTAAATATATAAAATTCGCCCCTTCTTCTTTAAATTTAGAATATTTTCTTAGTAAGTTAATTCTCTTGTGCACGACAGAACTTCTTTCACAAAGGGCCTTTCTGTTATCCTCCTCTTGAAATTTGAAACCCAAGTTATGTATCACTTGCCATAGACTTGTTCTGTCAATCTCGTCAAATTTTCTATCTATTAATTCCGAGAGAATTGTATTTAACGTCACATGTTCCTTGTTGGCCCTCATTCGATAAATGGTATCACGAATTTCAAATCTCTTTCCATCTGGAATATCTTTCGTTTTCAATGATGGGCGAGTTTTGCGGTGATCTTCTTTCGGCAGTTCACTCTTGTGATTTTGTAATACTCCTCTTAATTTGGTTTCACTTATTCCTTGAGCATCGCATACGCATTGTTGTACAGACATTACCGATTTTAAAGGACCGCCATTTTCTTTTTCATTCGTAAAATACTTATGTACACTACAAATTAGACTATCTACATCTAACACACGTCTAGGCATTTTTAAAATTTCCACTAAATTTTCAATATACATACAATGTCAACACTTGCAAAGAATCAATTGAACTGCAATATTTGTAACAAATTTAGTACCTACCCTAATGTTATTTTAATTTAAATCTGACCATTAGGGCAATTTCTTGGGAAGAGACTTATCGGAACTGGTTGTCAATGACTAATTTGCATATTTTTGTTAATCCGAAACCCGCGTAAGTATAGCGAACAGATTGTATCTAATAAACGAGTAAAACTTACCGGACTTGATTTTATCAAATACATTAAAATTTTCACTAGATTTCACTAGATTAACGTGGCCAATAATAACAAAAATAAGTGCTGCAATGTATAAAGAGCTCATTCTAAACATTGCACGAAGAAAAAATACTGCACTACTTTTGTTACTGAAGTCTAAAAAAATGTCGGTACTAAAAACAGTACACACGTTTAAATTGTGACGCTTTAGCAGTGATGAGAAAAATTGCTTTTGATTTAGGTGACTTCTTCTTAAATGTGCAGGTAATAAAAAAATACCGTAAACCTACAAATTAACCCAAAATAATTTCTTTTTTAAGCAAAGTAGATGGTTAACGACGGTTGACGTTGTCTACCATGAGTGGATCATTAAGGGGGTTTAGAAGGTTGACTTAGGCTGTAAGAGGGTCTTAAGAGAGCTAGGGAAATTTTAACTAATAGGTAGTACTAGGACGAATTGTGTATCAACGTTTTTAAAATATTCGAGGAAGTTTTTTATGAGATAAATACATTTCGAATTGTAGTTTAAATGTTACTGTCTTTTTCTACTTTTCACTCCCTTGTTTGTCATGGTCAATAAAACACATATCGACAAAAAAATGATCAATTACGTATTTACCTTCGGTAAATAAACTAGACCTATTAGGCTTATATTAATGTTTGAAGTTTATCTATCATTAGAAAAATATACTTCAATATTTTATTAATGCCAATCAATAATCATTAGGTTCCCATTTCGAGTTAATACTTATAGGTACTGAAAAGCGTCAACTTGAAAAACATGAAAAGGCTCTTCAGTAATAACCAAGAATCAACAAAAAAAGAGTCGTTATAAATAGAGTTTTGATGTTATTCATCACATATAAAGCACTTTATGAATATTATGTACTATATTTTCATTCAAATAGTTTTGAGTATCAAATCGATAAAACATGGAACGAATATTTTATAAACTTTTAATGTATTTAAGTAAATAAACTACAAAAAATTTTTATATTAAACAAGGACCCATAAAAACAGATATACGAATCATTCCGTGATAACTAGGCACGGTTTTGAATTAAAATCAAACAATTACCTATATAGGGGTTATTAATTTTGAAAATATTCAAAATTTTATTACCAGTAAAGTACATTGAATAAAAACAATAATCTTGTGTTGAAATAATGATTAATAACAGACAAATATTTACTGTTGTTCTAATTACAATCCTATAGAAATAATATATTTTTATTGTATGTTTGTCTTAGTCGGTAGTCGTTTAATTAAAACAACTAGAATCAAATAAAATTTAAGTGCATGACTATAAAAAACAATAATATTTACTTGTAAATAAAAAAGTTGAGAAAATGAAGATGAAAGTGTTTTTATTTCTATATTGTTTTATCACTTAGGTACCTTGAATATTCTTAAATGTCGGGCTCATGCGCAGTAGTTAAAAAGTGTTCTTATGAATATAAGATAAAATAAACTACTGCCCATGAGCCCGACAGTTGTGGATCATTATTTCTCAAAACCAGAACAGACCTTTCATTCTGTGATGTCACTCCGTCCTTGGCATCCGGGATGAGGCCACCGTTTCAATCTACGAACAGTAGTCTTTACCAGAGACAACAGAGACGTGTAACTTAATAGGAAAATTTGCTCGGTGGTCCATTTAAATTACATATATGACTCTCTTTCTCTTTTACAATGATCTTTACATATAATTATCTCTCTCCAATAAAACTAACACCAATCTTAGAGGTTGCTGATATTAGGGAGTTTTAGCAAACAGCCGCTAACCATCTGCTAATGTTACCTTAGGGATAGACTGTAATCTACTCCGTTCAATCTTTATGAAAAAAGTCACAATCTAAGTTTAACGTAACGTTAGCGGAAATATTACGTACATTTGCTAAAACTCTCTATTGCTGGTTTTTTGACGTCGACGTATCGATTAGAACTGACAATGTTATGAATGTTGTTATGAACGTGTAGATTTTATTAAAATTAATTTAATTTGGGCCCCGTTTATTTCTTTGGGTCTGATTTTGTTGTTTAATTAATTTTCTTTATGATATGATAAAAAATTTGATATTATTGGAAGCTTTCATATTTTTTAATATACAGTAAAACAATAGTTTTTGTTTTTCCTGTAAATTTGTATAGAAAAACTATATTTCTGAATCCATGTTTGAATTTCCCTCCCTAAAGCATTTTTAATTTTCCCGCTATTTACTAGTGGCGCCATCATAAACTGGTTGTGGTTACAATCGCCCAAACAACTTTTATAAATACATTGAGTTACACGTCTCGCTGGGTTGTCTTTGTCTTTACCCACCATTTATTAGTTGCCACTTCCACCATTAGACATTAACTATTTAAACTTTGTGTTACTGTATAGACAAAAAAAGTAATATACATGTCGTCGTCTAAAGGAAAACCAACTTCATCAAAAAACATAAAACAGTCCAAAGATTTATGGTGTCGTAAAATCATACTGAATACAATAAGGTTGATAAGATTAAAGCAATCAATGTACCACTAATACCACAAGAAATGGAAGAAATAAAAGAAAAGCCTACTTTAGAACGATTTTATAACAAAAGGGCAAGTAATACGACCTACGTGAAAGCAGTTTTTGTGCATGCATAGGCGGTCATATACATTTTAAAAGGGTAGTAGGAAATATAAAAAAAATGTTTCAGAAAAGAATAAATGAAGAGTCCAAAACAAAAACGATGAAGGTTATAAAAAGTTAATTCTCTGTAAATCGAACGTTAAGTTTTGAAACCAAAATACACTTAGAACTGAAATACTAAGGAAAATAAGTTAGTAGCCATTTTGTGTAAAATTTATTGGATAATATGTAAAAAACATCATGTCTTTGTTCTGGTTCTTCTTCATGTATGTTACACACTACCCTTAGCCGTTTTTGCCCGTGACGTTAATCGTTTTTGCTGGGTTCACCATTTTTTCCGTGAATATAAGCTTTATTGCTGTGTAAATCAGTTTAGCATCTACTATATAGTCTATAGTATAGACTCTCAGCTATTTTATCGTATATTTAACTGATTTTTAGAAAAAAGTGACTTTCACTGTTTTTGCTGTGTGCTCTTTAAATGCTTTAGTAATATACTTTCAGATGGGCTCTAAAAAGTCATTTTAAATACAAAAATAAAATAATTAAATTAACACTAAAACTTTGTGTGTAAAATCAAGTACTATCCTGCAGCATATCATATAAGGATTAAAAAATTCTAACAGTCCACGTTGACTACTTAAAAAGTAATACAAATTGACCATTGGCCAATAAGGTAACAGCAATACACTTGGTGGGTTGAGACAGGTACACAGTTACAATGGGGCATTTTATGTTTGAAATGTGACAGCTGTGTTTTTCGACGTCGCTGTGCGACTGGATATCGTATTCTTTGTGAATTACCTATATACAGGTTACGCTGGTTTTCGGTAAACTCAATTTATTTCTAACTCAAACTTTTACAATTCAACTTTAACAGCTATTAACATTAACGTTCTATGTCTATCATAAAATTGACTGTGATGTCAATATCATCGGCTTATATAGCTCCCTTAAACCTTCCAGATGTTTCTTGACACGGAATGACATTTCTAAACTGTTCTCTTCTTTTAATCGTACGTTTCTTATATTGGAGGGTGCAGAGTAACAATAGTAATATTGTGAAATAATATAAAATAATTTTGGTCCACACTATACCTTAAAAACTACGAATTTTAAAGTTTGATCCTGTGATTTATTTAGGGTCACTGAGAAACTTAATTTTACGGGGAATCGTAGCCTCATAAAATTAAATTGAGATCAATAGATATCAAAGGAATTCGCGTCACAAGCACCGTCTGATCTTGAGCACATCCGATTAAAATAATAGTTTCTGCCTGAAAACGATTTACCAATCAGTGTTTTCAGTTTTTAAAATTTTGAATTAAACTACAAAGAATATTTCTAGTGTCTCCCTTTAGGAGGGTGTGTAGCTTAACAACGAAGCGGTATTCAAATAAAACAAGATTTTATTTTAAGTAAGGCATATACAGTTTAAACTTTTATGTTTTATTCCGAAATATATTTTCTGTAACTTTTTAGTACTTTTTGTTTTCTAATAACCATTTTTCCCTACCTTCTTATTTAGGAAAATAAGTACCTCCTATGTGTTTTTATGACGTTAAAGCAGCTTTTGTCGATGGAAGTGTGCTCACATCTGTTTGTTTTTTAGTTTACATGTGGTGTTTATTTCTAAAATAATTTATTTATCTTAGATTTAATTTAGGTCTAATAAAGTGAAATAAAAGCTTAACGCGTTTCGGTTTAGTTAAAATAGAGTAGATGATTTCTTTTTTTTGTAAAGGAACGATTGTTTGGAAAACCCCAAATAATTTTTTATTTAACAATATTATTATAAAGAAATGATTGATCCTAAAAATGTTTCTTTATACAATTTCAATTTTCAATAATACCAAATTAGATATAGATGGTTTTTTGGTCACTTTGTTTAAGACTATGATTTTGATTATTAGAGTAGTTAGTACTTAGTTCATTAACTAACTAAATAACTTTTGGTAATTTTTGGTAAGATGAATACTCTCTATGTATTCAATAGGTATGTATTTAATACAAATAATAACTCATTAAAACCACAATGTTTACTGGCGTTTTTTTCGTTATGCACACATGTTGCTGCATACATGCTGTCGGACAGAAGAGAGAGTGAGACAAGAAGAAAAACGAATTACAGAATTTAGAATCAACACCGTAATATATTACGGGGATCATAAAGGGTCCGAATAAAAAGATCGTTCCTTTACCAGTCCTCATAAAAATAATCCTTCTGTCAAGATAATTTTTCAACTCGATATTAATGGGCGCGATACAACTTTTATCAATATTATTCAATAAACATACCACGAAATTAAAATATACTGCTTTCAAAAAATTAATCCAAAATTAACAGACTGAAACACCGATAATATACAGTCTGTTCGCTATACTCACGCGGGTTTGGGATTAAAAATTTTATATTTCCAGGTAAGTACCCGAAAGTTTGACCTGTTCTTTAAGGAAATATAAACTGGTTAAATGAAATGAAAAATAATGTACAACTTTTTAATTAAATAATAATGGAGAATCTTTTGTATAATTGAGAGCAGAATTAAACTTCTTCATTAATGGAGTCTAATGTGGCTATTATAAACCTAATAATAATTGTATATTACACTTCACACAGAAAATATGGTCTATGTATAATAAGAGGATTATTTAGCTCAAATAAAATATTTTCTAACATAAAAATTTGTTCCATGTAGAGAATTTCAAATGAAAAATAAAAAAATTGAACTTGCCAACAAAAATGAAAATCAGTCATTATCATCCAAAATATCATAATCGTCATCATCATCACT